CATATGGTTGACTCCCTAAAGGTAAAAATTAATAAAAGCCTGTCTTGAATAAATGTTGCAACTATTAAACCAAAATTCATGAGATTGGAGAATGGGCGTTGGCAGGCCCGGCCGGAAGTTTTCAGGGTTTAAAGTCAATAATCAATTAATAAATTTTTAATGTTTTTTATATTTTTTTTATTGAATGAAGATTTTTTTTAAAAATAAAATATAAAAGATTTGTGTCAAAATCACAAAAAATACTTATCATTACATTTCAATAACTAATAAGTATCGTTTAATCTTCACTCTTCTTGTATTTTAAGAAACAAATAAATCAATCATACTTGCATAATTTAATTTTTTTGTAAAATTATTTTCAATCAATAACAATACTAATTATTTTAAATAGGCCTTTCAATTTTTTAATGGATTAATTCATTTTAAGTTAATTTGAGCCTTCCTTAATTTTTTTTCAGACTTAAAATATACTTAATTTATTAGACTAAACTATAATAAGAGAGACCCTTTTTTTGGGTTTATTTTCAATGGATAACAATGCTAATTTTTTTAAATAGCTTTTTAATGTTTTAATGGATCAATTTATTTTAAATTAATTTAAGTTTTTTAAATTTTTTTAAACTTAAAACATACCTAATATATTATATTAAATTATAATTAGAGATGACTTTTTTTTTTAATGTATTTTGATGGTCTTAGACAGTGACCTTGTGACCTATGGCGCAGGGCCGGCCTTGGGTGTTGGCCTTCCATGGATAGTTGCGTCAGACTTCAAATTGCCTTTGCTTCAGCCTATGGTCTGGGCCACTTCAGAGATAGCAGCCATTTTATTTATGTGAAGTCATTGTCAAAGAGCTTTTATATCAAGTTGTCAACTGATATTCTACTTAAAAAATAAAATAAATAAATAAAAGCCAATGTTGATTGTTATTATTATTGAGAGAGGAATTGAATCTACGAAATGAAGTTAATTGGTCATTATTAGGACTTAACAACTAAAAATGTGAGATGATTTAAAAACTCACTCACACACGGAAAATTATAAAATATTTTTGTAACATCAGGTATACTTTGTAATTAATTATAATTTATTAAATTTTTTTATATTTTTTAATTATTTAATACAATATTTTATCTATTTATTTTTTTACCAATTACTCTCTGCGTTCCAAAATAATATTTCCTTTTGAAGAATCTAACTTTTTTGGTAGTACAATTATTACACTTTAAAAAATTTGATTTTTCAAAATTATCCTTTGATAATATATTTTTTAGAAAATATCAATGTCATAATTGTACTTTTTATGTTGTTAATGAATTTTTAAAAAAAAGATAAAAAAAGAAATTTATATTATTTTTGTACTTAACTTTTGAAAAGAAACTAGTATTTTGAGACAATAAAAAATAAAATAAAAAATTAATATTTTAAGACAAAAAAATATCATATTATAAATTATTACCTACCTATATTCCGAAATCAGCGCTCTCACACTTTTTGCATTTCGATAATATCCTAAAATTTGCTAGCATTTTAAATGGGGTATATGCCATTTCTCTTTCCACAACCAAGAAGCATAAAGTGGCCCTTCTATTCGTTGGATTTATTTGTTTCCGGCCTGGCCCAGGCTTTGGAAATGGGCCATAGGAAGCCCATCCTAGGTTTACCACAGCTTTTTGTTTTGTTCTATTTTGGATTTTTGCTTTTTTGCTTTTTAACAAGTGGGTAGGTAGAGGTTTCGGTGAAGAGATATATGCTATTTTTGTTTCTAATATTTAATTCGTGTCATTTTAATTTCTGCAATTAAAAAATAATAACTTTCATTTCTCTTCATCTCAACCAATGATAAAAAATGAAAATCATAAATACATAATAGTAGTAAAAACTGAAGGGGGGGGGGAGATTATCAAATAAGTGATATTTATTAAAAAAATAATAATAATTACAATTCAGTGACAAATTTTATAAATATTAATAATTAAAATCATAAATTTTCTCATGATTTTGAAAATTATTTTTTAAAAGATCCACTTAATTGTAATTTTCCTAAAAAAATTCATTTTTCACAAAATATAGTTGTCATCTAATATGTGTATATTACTTACATATCAAAGCATATTGCTTATGCACTACAAATATATCATTGAAAAATGTTAGTTTTTATTTATTTATTATTATTATTTTTTATCTATACTATACTATTATGTATGTGAAGACTCCTGATTGTATTGACATGTCCTATTTTAAAGTTTTTCAAAATGTCCATACAATACTAGTTTTTAATAATGTATATTTATGATTTTCAAGCATTAAAATGTTTGGTGATTGAAAAAATAGTCATCCATTTAAAACAACATAAAAAAGTGTTAATTCATAAATAATATGAAATATTATTCTAAAAATATTTAATAAATTTTTTGATTAAGAACACTAGCCCTAATCCAATCAAATTGTCGATATATATCTTGAGAAAATTTCACTTCAATAAAAGTTTAAAAAATAATCACAAATAAATTGTAAATTTTATAAATATTAATAATTATAAATTTTTTTTATGAATATGTAATAAATTTTTAAAATTACCACTTCATAATAATTTCCTCTTGTATATTTCAACAATTACTTGTCCAGACCAAAAAATGGATTTTAACTCTCAAATTGGTTCTAGAAATTCGAGTCCGTAACTGGAAAGTAATTTCCCGGCAGCCAAACAGACCCTCAATTGTTAAAACGAACGAACAAACAAACGAACGGCCAAACTTGGTCCTGTAGCAAATCATCCCATCAAGAAAGAGGAATCAAGTTGACTCCAAAGCTAACGCGAATCACGACACCATATTACAAAACAAACATCATAGAAACTCTTACTCCAGTACCTCATACACACGTGGAGTTAGATCATCTCTAACAGTGAATTAAATTTGACATCAGATTTAAATTTTGGAGAAAAAAATACTTTTTGATGTTCCAATCGTTTCACCAAATTGATATCAAAATGAGAATTCAACAAAAAAAATCATCAAATTAAGAACAAGGTATTGATTTTACCAAATTACTGTTCCTGACCGTTAAAGCAGAAAAGCTTGAGAATTTTACACATGGTGGTCGACCACCTGGATGACCACCTGGTCGACCCCTTGGTCGGCCATCCGGTTGACCAACCGGTCGATCAGTGCATGCAAATATTGGCCTGCGAACTGGTTCAAATAATTCAAATAGGTAGGTTCAAACAGTTCAAAAAGGTAAAAAAAAAAAAATTAAAAAAATTAGCTTTACCAGTCGACCCACCGGTTGACCAACCGGTTGACCCACAGAATTTTGATGCACTGTTGGAGCAATTGATATCAAATTCAGAAAATGAGTCATTTTTTACTCAAATTTGGTGAAAAAAAAAGTTCACCGTTGGAGATGCTCTTAGTGATTGAAAATAGAAAAAAAAAATTCTGACTAAGCCTCTGTTTGGCAAGTTGATTTATGGGCATTTTTGACTATTTTAGCCACAAAAGATAAAATAGACTATTTTAACCACAACAAACAAAACATCACATCCAATCCATAATTATTACACTTTTCTCTCACAAAAAAAATCAAAAAAGTCAAAAAATTCTTCTCAAACCAAGCTTTTTAGCCTAAGCTAAAATAATCAAAAAAGTCAAAAAATCAACCAATTTTCCAAACGAAGTCTAATCACACTCCATTGGGGTCTTGGGGGTCACCCCTAGTGGGGTCCGGAGCATTTTTCTTACAAATTTTTATTTTTATTTTATTGGATCAAAATCCAAACAATAAATTTCTTTCTTAATAAAAATATCAATTTATCAATCTATAATTTATTTTGAATATATTTATATGATAGATATTAAATTGATAAAATACAAAATTTATGGTTAAAATAAATTTGAATCATTAATTTTTCTTTTTAAATAAATTTTAGATTAATAAAGGTGGGTTCGTAATGTTATTATCTTACATCCCATTGATTTATGAGAAGTCTAGTTGGTTCAATACAATGTTACGCCTTACGTATATTGTGATTAATAAAAGAGATAAAATTTATAATTTTATATTAAGTTATTCAAAAACAAACAATGATCGAGACTTCTACCTTTATAAAACTTTCACGATTCTAAATTATCTGTAATATAAACTCCATACATATATAAATAGTATTCAAACATAAATAGAGAGTAAGCCTCCGTTTGGGAAGTGGGTTGGCTTTTTGGCTTTTTGGCTTTTTTGGCTATTTTAGCCTGAGCTAAAAAGCTTGGTTTGGGAAGGGCTTTTTGGCTTTTTGACTTTTTTGACTTTTTTTGTGAGAGAAGAAAGTAATGATTATAGGTTGGATGTGATGTTTTGTTTGTTATGGCTAAAATAGCCTATTTTGTTTTTTGTGACTAAAATAGCCAAAAAAGCCTGAAAAAGCCCTTGCCAAACACAGGCTAAGAATCATTTTAAAAGTGCAAGGCCATCCGAAGGGGCCAAACATTTTCCTTCAAAAATATAAAATGAAATAATAATTGGGTAATGCTAGGCATACCAAATTTTCTACCAAACAAATGACAAAATATCTCACATGGTGTGGGGTCCGCAATTTTGTGGGCCCTACACCCATGTGAGATATTTGGTCATTTATTTGGTAGAAAATTTGGCACCTCTAGCATTTTCCATAATGGGTAATGCTAGGCATACCAAATTTTCTACCAAACAAATGACAAAATATCTCACATGGTGTGGGGTCCGCAATTTTGTGGGCCCTACACCCATGTGAGATATTTGGTCATTTATTTGGTAGAAAATTTGACATCTCTAGCATTTTCCATAATAATTTATAATTTAGCACATGTTACGTCACGTGGTGGTGGCAACCAATAATTTTTCCTCGATTAAACCTAATTTTGTTCTCTCTCTCTCTCTCTCTCTGTTGTGTTGGCAAATTAGCGAAGCAAAACCAGCCTTTCGGAGATCTCAAGGGTCTTCTACCTCTCGATGTATTCGAAGTTCTCTTGACTCCCCCACCCCCCCATTTCTCGACTCTGTAAAACCCTTCCATTCGGCTCATCTTTGTTCAAAAAAGACCTCTCTTTCTCTTCGATAGATTCAATTACATACAGAGACAACTATATATATAGAGAGGGAGATGTCGACTCTTTCTTCATCCACGCATTGTCGTTCGTATTGTTCTTCATCATCATCAGCTTATCCGACTTCTTCTTCCAATCATGGGTATAGACGAATATCCGTTTCTTCGATTTTCCCAAAGCGATTCCTACCCAGAAACGTTTCTGTGCAATCGAACCGAAAATCGTGGTCCAATGTGGTCTGCATGCAAGATGGTTAGCTCATTTCGCTTTTAATTCCTCAAATTTTATTAATGAATCCACGATGGTGTAAATTCGATTGATGTTCATGTTTGTCTGTCGATTAAATGAGTCTGCTAAGTAGTTGTGCGAGAGGGTGTACTTCTATTCTATGTATTGAGAGAGTTGTAAATTTAATTAATTTTCTCCGTTTCTTGCGATTGCCTTGAAACTAGAGGAAAGGAATTTTCAACTTAAATATTTGATTAACCATTACTTTTTGAAATAAAAAATGGAACCTTTTTCCACCCAATTGGACCAATTCGAATATTTGGCTAAGTTAACATCCTAATTGCTATCAATTTAACTCAACAAATAGATGTTTGTTGACAAGTTCATCCTTTTGCTTTCCTCAATTTTATCCACAGCCAGATGGATGGTTCTAACACTTGAGCTTATTTAGTTGCCTATTTGCTTTTTTTTCCTGCTGTTCAATCTGATTGTATGCTTTGCTTGAAGTTAAAACTACTACTGGGCTTGTGGTTTTTAGTTCTTATCTTTGGGATGATATTGATTTGATGGGTTATATTTTGGTATTCAAGTTTTTTTATTTTTAAAATTAAAATTCTTATGTAAATGGCCTTTTTGGTAGGTGTAGTAGCCGCAACAATAGCCCAAATTGAAAATGAAAGTCGTTTAAAGAAAATGAAAAATGGGTTGTTGTCAGTTGCACCTCCAGAGGAATGTAAGGACGCCGCTGGTTTTGATAACAACAATGATAAATCCACTGTCAGTATTACTGTGGTCGGAGCCTCGGGGGACCTTGCTAAGAAGAAGATATTTCCTGCACTTTTTGCACTTTATTATGAGGATTGCCTCCCAGAGGTTTGTATAAATCTACTTCATTTATCCATTATTTCTTTCTATTTGGAAGTTTTAGTCTGTGATTTGTGTCAGCTTAGTAATTGGTTTCCTTTATATGTTATGTTAGAATGGAATTTTGTAACACTGAAGGATTTGTTTGGTTGCAGCACTTCACCATCTTTGGGTATGCCCGGAGTAAGATGACCGATGCTGAACTTAGGAACATGGTTAGCAGGACCCTTACTTGCCGGATTGATAAGAGGTGAACCCAGTTCTATTCTATCTTTTTTTTGCATGATTTGTATGTCTCTTTAGAGCATGTTGCTATGGTTTGTCTTGACTACACGATTTGATTATAGTTCTCAATTTGGGATTTAGTTGGTGTAATTGTTTATTGGAGCTTGCAAATTAAGCTTTTCTTTTTTCTTGAAAAGCAATATATGAGGTTTCATTTGGTTTTTCAGGGAGAACTGTGGCGAAAAGATGGATCAATTCCTTCAAAGATGCTTCTACCATTCTGGTCAATATGAGTCTCAGGATGATTTTGCAGAGCTTGACAAGAAACTGAAGGAACATGAGGTAATGTTTGGTTGGTCTAAACCTTTTTAAGCTCCATGAGACTAACTTCTCCTCAACATTTTAGTCTAAACTAGCTTGGGATAGTGAATTTTATGACCACATTGTGTCCACAATGTTTTAGATGTGTTGTTCTTTGATCTGCTTCTTTTAAATGAATATTATTGAATCTCATTGAGATCCTAAAATGGGATGTAAAAGGAGCTGCCTAGTGCACAAGGCTCTCCTTCTATGGGGTTTGGGGGGGAAGGTCAAATGTACGCAACCTTACCATGTTTTGAACCATTGATGCCCACTTGCCAGGGTTATAAAATGGGATCTACGTTATGATTATGGAAAAATATTATTGTCTTTGACCATAATCATGTGCATTATCCATTTGGCAAGAGAGTCCTAAAGCAATAGAATAACCGTGTTTTTGGTTGACATATGTTCTGAATCATGGGAAATGTGTAGTTCCTGGGCTTATGATCTAAATGTGACAGAAATTTAGAGAAAGATGATTTGTTTTTGATTTGCGACTTAAAATAGCAAATTCTTTTCTTTGTTGAACAACTACACAATCATAACCTATGCATATCAAAATCAATAATATCACCCACGAAATTTGGTGATAAATATTCCTGTCTAAGTTTAGACTCATGAGATTTGGAGAAGGGATTGCTAGGAAGTGTTTCTAGTTGGACTTTTTTCTTTTTTTATTTTGAGCTGACCAAATTATCAATTTCAGCATTCAGGTTGGTTGGTTGATTGTTTGAGGATAAGATCTGATCATGAGAACTTAACACTATGGTAGGATGGTTGTTATAAAGAAAGGCAATCAAATTATGTGATGTAGGACAAGTGAAGGGACTACTCTTCCTACAAGTAGTGAGCCAAAACTAATATGGGACAATGGTGAAAGAGTTATTTCAATGTTAATTCAGTTTTTTAGGCCAAAAAGCTTAGAAAAATTGTGTATAATTGTAATGTTTACATGTGTTGACCAAAGGTAGGGTTTGGGAATAAAAGAAAGAAAGGTTTTAGGGACAGTTTCCGAGTGTTGTGAACAGCAAGGTAAAGACAGGCTAATGGGGATAAATTGCTTGTTTTATGTATCCAAATTTCAAACGTATCTATTTCCATCTAGATTTACAATGATGAACTGCTATGCAGGGTGGGAGGGTTTCGAATCGCCTTTTCTATCTATCAATCCCACCAAATATATTCGTAGATGCAGTACGATGTGCAAGCCTCTCTGCCTCATCCGCTGATGGCTGGACAAGGGTCATTGTAGAGAAGCCCTTTGGTCGGGATTCCGAATCTTCAGCAGCTTTGACGAAATCTCTCAAGCAATACTTAGAGGAGGATCAAATTTTCAGGTGGTTCTTGCTATCTGAGTCAGATTCGTATTAGGAAGCAATGGGCTATAATCTGATCATTGTGGTTTTTATTTATTTATTTTAATTTAAACAGAATAGACCACTATTTGGGGAAGGAGCTGGTGGAGAATCTATCTGTCCTTCGCTTTTCCAACCTCATTTTCGAGCCCTTGTGGTCCAGACAGTATATAAGGAGTGTACAGTTGATATTCTCTGAAGATTTTGGCACTGAAGGGCGGGGAGGGTATTTTTCTTTCTCAAATTGGTGTTTAATCAGTCAAGATCTGATCTTAAACTTAAAATTATGGGTTGTTCCAGATACTTCGACAATTATGGGATAATAAGAGACATAATGCAAAACCATTTGCTTCAGATACTGGCCCTCTTTGCCATGGAAACCCCTGTCAGTTTGGATGCAGAAGATATTAGAAATGAAAAGGTTTTCCTTTACTACCAATAGAAAACTTTATAATTATTATTAAGAGACATAAACCAATTTTTTTTTTTTGGAACTAAATTGATGATCGAATGGGTGTTAGGTCAAAGTTCTACGTTCAATGAGGCCTTTGCAACTCGAAGATGTGGTCGTAGGACAGTATAAGAGCCACACAAAAGGAGGTGTATCTTACGCAGCCTATACAGATGACAAGACCGTACCCCAAGACAGCCTAACTCCAACATTTGCCGCAGCTGCTCTTTTTATTGATAATGCAAGATGGGATGGGGTGCCTTTTCTTATGAAAGCCGGGAAAGCTTTACATAATAAGAGGTCTGTGAAACTAAGAAGTGATCTGAATTGACAATGCTTTATCTCCATTTGATCTTTTGATATATACTTTGTGTAATATTGCTTTTTTTTTTCCCCAGTGCTGAGATAAGAGTTCAGTTTAGGCATGTGCCTGGTAATCTATACAACCGAAGTTTCGGTGCAGATCTTGATCAAGCAACAAATGAGCTTGTTATCCGTGTCCAGCCAGATGAAGCTATCTACTTGAAGATCAATAATAAGGTCCCTGGTTTGGGTATGAGATTGGACCGTAGCAACCTAAATCTTCTCTATGCAGCAAGGTACTATCTAAGAATTTTGGTAGAATACTGATATATACCTTTATTGTTCTTGTTATAAAAATCATTGTTGCTGCCAATCTAACCTTCTCATGCATGTGTTACAATATACTTGGTACTTAGTATTTTTGGTAGACATTTCATTGACTGATTCAATTACCTACCTAACGTTAGAATCATTGTCTTTAAAGGGGGAAAAGCTTCAAATATGAGCCATTAAAAACAGTTAAAAAAAAGCTTGCTTGATGTTTTGTCAAGCTGTTGTACCCTAAACCTTGACATGCATTAAAGATGAATGTTTTGAATGTGAATCATGAGACACATATCAGTGACTGGTATGTAGTTTTACATGTGAAAAGGATTGTAAGTAGGGCTGCAAACGAGCCGAGCCAAGCCGAGCCGAGCTTTTCTGAGCTTGACCTCGGCTCGTTTACTTATCAAGCTCGTTTATTGAGCTCGAGTTTGGCTCGATAAAGAACTGGACTCGGGCTCAGCTCGGCTCGGCTCGGCTCGTTAATATTAATGAAACTTGAGCTCGGCTCGATAATTTTTTTTTAATATTATTTATATTATTTAATATATAAAATTTGACTAATTAGCTAAAATAGCCTCTTGCCAAACGAGGCCTTATTATATAATTTAAATAAAGATAAATGAGTCGAGCCGAGTCCTTAACGAGCCGAGCCGAGCCGAGCCGAGCCGAGCCGAGCCGAGCCGAGCCGAGGTCGTTCATGAACAGTTCGTTTCATTTGCTGCCCTAATTGTAAGTCACAAAGTATCGTTAGATAATCACGCTAGTTGTGATCCTTTGAGAGTTTTTGTTGTCCTCCATTATATGGTGCCCACCAAATGTTTTAAGCATGTTTAAAAGAGTTTGAATTTTGAAAAAATTGGAAACACTTCACTTCATCAATGTTTTCTTGTGTTTGTGGTTTCTAGATACTCAAAGGAGATTCCCGATGCATATGAGAGACTTCTTCTTGATGCCATTGAAGGGGAGAGGAGACTGTTTATTCGAAGTGATGAACTTGATGCTGCTTGGTCGCTCTTCACACCCGTACTCAAAGAACTAGAAGAAAAGAAAATTATTCCTGAATATTACCCTTATGGGAGTCGCGGCCCTGTTGGAGCTCACTATCTTGCAGCCAAATACAAAGTTCGATGGGGCGATCTTGGTATCAAGCAATAGCTTGAGAGTGTATGCATAACAGTGGAAGGAATGTTTCCATGAATCATATTTAGTTTATTGGGCTTACTTTATCGTTGGGAGACTATGGTCAGAAGCCAATAGTGTGTGAACACGTGTAATCAGGGAAGGAAGATTTGGGCGTTCTTCGCTATTTATGAGTGCTAAATTTGTTCTTTCCATTTTCCTGATATTGTTTCTTTGTTATGTCAGGTTTGATGGAAGATAGGTTAGTTTGTCATTACAAATCTATTTCAGATTCAGATGAATGGTTTCTCCCAATTTTCAGCAGAATCAACACAACTTAAAGGCTATGTTTGGAATCTTGGATGTGAGTGGGGATTTGTGGAGGGAAAAGGAGTAGGAAAAAGTGTTGAAATTTACGTAATATTTTTGTCACTTTTTTCCTTGTGTATTTTTTTTCTTTTTTTTTCTCTTACTTTTATGATCCAAACACAGCTTAAAGTTTTTTTAAAGTTTTTTTTTGTGCATGATAATGATGGAAAAGGGATAAAAGATAACTGAACTGAATCGAGTATTAGTGTTTAAGCTTGAATTAATGAAAAACTTAACGACTTTTTGAAAGCTCAAATATTTTAATTTTTTAATGAAAAACTTAATGATTTTTTCAAAATTTAAATATTTTATTTTTTAGATACATTTAAATTAGATGTATTTAAAAAAAAAATTAAAAATTGACTCAAATATCAAAAAATATATATAATAAAAAATTAAAATTAAAAATTAAAATTTTGATTTTAAAACTAAATAACCAAACAAATTATTTTTAAATTATTAATTTTTGTGTCAGACAAACAATTTAAAATAGATGTTCTAATGACAACGAAATTTATTGATAGATGTTCTAATGACAACGAAATTTATTGGATCCTCAAAAGGACCCAAAATGAATTAACCAAAAAAATTAAACAAATTTATTATGCATCTTATGCATTATAGCACACTAATTTTAAATCGGTAATGCTACGTAGCTCGAAACTCGTGGCTCGAGTTTGGCTCAACACCAAAACGACGTCGTTTTGGTGTCGATTTTGATTTTTTTTTTTTTTTTTTTTTTTTTTCTTTTTTTCTTTTTTCCGTGTTTTTGTTGCAGAACGAAGAAGAAAAAGAAGAAGGGAGAATAAGAGAAGGGAGGAGGAGGAGGAAGAGGAGGAAGGAGAGGAGGGGAGGGGGCCATAAAAATCGGCTGGAGGAGGAGGCGGGGCTGCGACTGCGACGATCGGCGAGGCGACGGCAGTGATGCTGCGCGACAATCTCCTCCCTCCCTTCTTCTTCTCCCTCCCTTCTCTTTCTCCTCTCCCTCTTTCGAGCCAATTCGAGCCCTTGGTGTCGAGCTACGGCTCATTTCCGATTTTAAATATACGTGATGAAATTTTCATAATCCATAGAATCAATGAATGACTCAAAACACTGATGTTTACTAGTGACATGTTTTATTTGACAGTGGATTGTGTTTAGTTGAAGAATTTGATAAAAAATTTGGAAAGAGAAAAGAAAAAAGTGTGTGAAACTGGGTGAAATATAAGTATGTTTTATTCACATTTCACCTATCTTTTCTATTTTCCTTTTTAAATCCCTCCTTAAATTCTCCAATCAAATACAGTATTGGTGATTAATGCAGAAATCGACAGTATCTGCCCAATTGATGATGTGACCGATGTTACAAAATTTATGCTTCTCATGGTGAATCCTTCAATATTAAAAATATATATTAAAAAAAAACCATTTACAAAAAAAAAAAAAAAAAATTGTTTTTTTTTAATAATAAAAATTAATGTGGTGAAAATAAATATTAGAAATGATGTTTTTTAACTTTCAAATTTTTAAAAATATGTAAAATGAAAATTGATCAGATTTGTATGGTCATGACTTGAAAGTCTTCTAGCCATTTTATCAACAATGTCTTTCATATGGTTCTTAGTGATCCTACTATGAAGAAGAGGGATACCCAAGTACTTACCCAAATCATTGATAAGAGACGTACCATAATTGTAATTGAGGGGGAGAGCTTCTTATCCTGGTAAAATCTGTCACTTCTGCAATCTCTAACTACCTTATGCAAACCATGGAAATACCTAGAAGTGTTTGTGATAATATTGATAGGATTAACAGAAATTTCCTCTAGGGTAGTTCTTAGTCCAGGAAAAGAGTGCACCTTGTGAATTGACAACAAGTCTGTAAATCCAAAAAACAGGGTGGACTAGGCATAAGGAAAGCTCGGGAACAAAATTGTACCCTTATTTCTAAGTTGGGGTGAAAGATAGCTAGCAAATCTAACGAGCTTTGGTGTCAAATTAGCCTCGTTTGAGAAAGGATTATTTTGGTAATTTTTTGACTTTTTAACTAAAATATGAGGTAAAATTTTTTTTTGTATGTTTAGAATAATTTTTTAATTTTTTACAAAAAGATGTGCAAAAAATAAAAAGAAAATAGAATATTTGACTTTTTGGTATAGGTTATAGGATTTTTAATTTTTTTAGTAACTTTTTAGCTTTTAAGTTAAAACTATTATTTCCCAAACGAGGCCCAAAATCACTCTATTTCTAATTGGCCTAGCAATAGAATAGTTTCCCACTCTTGGAAAAGTATAATAAGAAATGGAGAAATTCTGGAAAAAAATATAAAATGGACTGTTGGCACAAGTGAAGATATCTCCTTATGGACTGATTGGTGGTGTGCTTCCCAACCACTTTGTTACACAAACCAAGGGCCTCGTATTGACAACACAACTAAAGTCAGTTCCATAATTGATGATGATGGTAATTGGGATTTAACTCCTATTCAAGACCTTATTGGTCAAGCAATCCTCAGTATCTATAAACCCAGGTATGTGACTTTTACTAATTCTCCTCATTGGAAAGGATCTACTAGTGGTGATTATTCTACTTCAGCAGCATACCAAGCTACATTAGAGCATGAGAATACTGGTGGCGACTGGCAGTGGCTTTGGAAAATTAAAATTCTCCAGAAATTCAAAAGTTTTCTCTGGTTAATTATGTATGAAAGGTTGCTAATTAATCACATGAGACTGGTTAGGAATATGTTTGAGACTAATATTTGCCCCAGATGCAAAACAACCAGAGAAGACATACATCACCTCCTTAAACGCTGGCCCAAAGCTAAAGTTGTTTGGCTGAATCTCAGGAATTATGTCTGGTGGCAAAACAACAACACTTTACCATTACAGGAGTGGATCAAAACAAATATGAGAAGTAAGGTCGAAGTCAATAACACTCAATGGCCCGTGGTCTTTGTTACAGCTCTCTGGATTGTATGGAAGGATAGAAACAAAGAAGCATTTGAGAACCAAAACCAACCCCAACCCCCTTACATCAGTGTTAACTCCATTCTTAAACAAGCTATGGACATTCAGGAAGCCTTTCTGAATATGTTGCATCCAAATTTTTCAGAACCTAAACTAACTAGATGGTCTTGTCCTTTTGTAGGTAAGCTTAAACTGAACACAGATGGAAGCTCCAAGGGAGATCCAAGGCAATCAGGTTATGGAGGGCTGATCAGAGATAAAGTGAGAACATGGGTATGGAGTTACCATGGTTATTTAGGCAATTGCACAAGCCTAGAAGTTGAGCTCTGGGAAATCTACAAAGGGTTGACCATCATAGTGTTTTTAAAAGACCCATCTAGTTTTATGTTTTCCTTGTTAATTGCTGACGTGGTGAATGTCAATTCTAGAAGGGATTAATCTATCCCATGGTTATCTTGTAAACTCTTTTATATTTTCTCATGAATCAAAAATAAATAAATAAATAAACTTACCAGGAAAGCCGTGAGTCTCATGTAAACATTAGCTTGGTACTTATTAAATATCTTCCCATGCTTAAGTTGGTAGAATCAACTTAGAGAGAGCTAATGAAAAGAGAGGTCTATGGTTTCATTTATTGTTTTTTTGGTGTCTTTCTCCTAAACGTTGGTAGAGTGAAAAACTATCCTGTAGAATTCTTCGTATGGTAAAAATTACCCAGTCTTTCAAGAAGATCAAGTGGTTGTATCCCAACCAATTATGTTCGTCATTTCTAACAATATTCCTTTTTCTTTTCTTTTTTCTTTTTACCATATAAGTACATAACTCATTTCAATTAGACAAATACACTGTTATTAGGAAATTCTCAAAAACTAATCAATGTGTTTAGTTTTAATTTTCTGGAGATTGTGTCTTTTGTTTTTAGTAAATATTTTTAAAATTCTAAGTAATTCTTTTTACTTTTTAAATGCACATTACTTAGATGTATCTAAATAGTAAAATATTTTCAAAAATTAATAAATACACAAAAATATGAAAAATATACTAAATTTTCATTTTTTTTCTTATATTTTTGGTATTTTGTGAATTTTTTAAAGATTTTTTTCACAAATATTATACTTTTTAAGTGTATTTATGTTAAGTGTGTCTAAAAAAATTTTAAAAGAAATTTGCTTAAAATATTAAAAAAAATCAATGAAAACAAAAAAAAATACGAAAAACGAAAAACGAAAAAATAGAATTTTTTGAAAAGTGAATTCTGAAAACTGAAACCAAACAGAGTGAATAAGACTCACACCTCTTAAGAAGACGGAGTCATAGCCCAAATAATTATCTACTATCAATCAATAGTGTTTCTTGAATTTTTTTTTTATTTAGTAATTTTTAATATTTTTAAGAAACAATTTCTAAAAACAAAACCAAACAACAAGATTGTTAATTTTTTTTCTTCCCATTGAATTTCTCACTCTTGAGAGCTAAAATGCCTTTCATATTTTGAGGCTACAGGAAGTGTAGTTTTGGGGGGCAATATATCCAACATACTTCGCTATTCCTCACCTTAGAAAGACACAGGGCAATTCATCAGCTAGTGCACTGTTACACCCTCCAAGAATGAGCTTCTACGCTGTAATTAATTTTCACATTTTTATTATATTCTGTTTATTATCTTATGTTTCAACATTGTATTTGTAACACGAGAGTTGTAAGACACATTTTACCAATACACTGTTACATACAAGATGGTAAACTAATATCCACGCAAAGTTTTACTTGCATGTATACCATTAAAAATTACTTATATAATTTAGAATACACGTCAATATGCTACTTTTGGTGTTTTACGTGTAAAAAATTCAAGACAGACTAGGTTTATTGGTGTTTACTAAGACCCCGATACATTAGAGACACCACCAAATTAGACTTAATGTCAACATGTACCTAAGGTCTCAAAAAACTTTGAGCTGCTAATGTAGGTTTGACTAGTTCCAAACGTAGTGTTCATTTTTGTTATCTTGTAAGAGAACAAATATATATCATTATTTAATATTCTATCATGTTATTTAATGTAATTCATAGAATGTAAAGTTTCATGTAACCTAGCTTTCATAATAGTTGTTGGTCCTTGCGAATCTTGGTGTTTAAGTTCTCTGCTCCGATTATTCAAAGCAAATTTGTAAACTTTGGGGCAGGAAATGCAAGAACAAGAGGAGTTTGAATTTTAAAATAAGTTGTAAACGAACCAAGCTATGCATGAACTGCTTGGGCTTGGCTCATTTGCAGCTCATTTCTACTTGTTCAATTGTGTATTCAAGCCAAGCTTGAGTCTAAATTTGAGCCCGATTAATAAACGATCCAAGCTCAAGTTAAAATAAGTTCAGATTGGTAAAAGTTTTGACTAGATTATTATGATATGTATAAAATTATGTAAAACGTATTGTAATATATAATGTTGATTGCGATTCCAATTCAAACTTTGAGCTGAGCACAGGTTTGTAAAATTTGACAATCCGAGTTTGAGTTCGTTGAATTGTATATTCAAGCCAAACTCAAATCATTGCACTACTCAGCTCCACTTTATCGCTTTCACAGCATATTAAAAGAAAGAGAATGGAATTATCCAAAAATAAATTCTCTTATCCACTGGTATAGAATTCTTTAACACCACCATGGTCAGAACTTTTCAATTTCTCTAACCTCAAAAATCAATCAAGAAACTTGGAGTTCAATAAAGCCTCAGTTAACAAGCCCTCTAAATTGGGAAGACTGACCCCACAAAGTAGAACGAAAATCATGAAAATTGGGACCTAGTGAAATTTCACCTCAGACCATTGGAAGCTCACCACATTCACTGATGACCACCTTCTTCCTGGGACGATCACCTCTGTCAGTCTCTTGTGACTCGATCAGCTTGACAATGTCCATGCCCTCCAAAACTTGTCCAAACACTACATGCCTTTGATCCAGCCAGGGTGTCTGTCATTCACCCAAACATCAAGCACATGTACATTTTGGTTAGCCCTTCCCCTCGCATAACTTTTCCCCCCAAAAAAAAAAAAATAAAAAAAATAAATAATAAAAAAAATAAACCATGAACTCCCTACGAAGATTTTACTTGCTCAAGTAGACCTAGAATATTTGGATGCATTACGCTTTGTCTCCATTATTTAATTGAAAATCAAGAGCACTTTGATTTGAAGAGGTTGGTTATGGTGGCAATTGGTAGTCTACTGATCAAGAAAGTGAACAATAATCCAATAGTAATATAACAATTTTTTGCCAAGTACCTTGACGGTGCATATAAAGAATTGGCTCCCATTGGTATTTGGGCCTGCATTTGCCATGCTAACAACTCCAGGTCCAACATGAGTCACTGCAAAGATTCAATACTTCATATTTTGCGTGGAAATAGAAGACAATCTTTGGCTTAGGAAGAAATAAGGTTAAAATGTCAAGATAACCGTCCTCAAAGTCTTATTTCTTCTTTTTTTGCTGTTTTGAGGAATATCATAGATGGGTATATTGAACCACCGGATCTATTGTCCATTTAGTCTGACATAAGTAGAGAGGATTAGCTTACACTTGAAATTCTCATCTTTAAATGTACGACCATATATACTTTTACCGCCAGTTCCCTGCAACAGAGATCCATGAATGGAGGATTACTCAACAGATCACAAAGTCTTCGAAAAGATATGCTACTAACCAGAAATGTATTTGTTAAAATATGAAAAGCCACGGCTTGTCAGGATATCATAGGACACCATGGATTTCACAAGAACAAACAGCAGAGTGACAAAACAAGATAAAAGGCATCCTTAAGGAAAGCCAAACGTCAATTTGACCCACCTTATAACGAGCACAAAGCACAATACAACATAGAAGTATTAAATAAAGACATTAGAATGGAACACAGCATGTCTATCAGAATCAACTGATCCAGCATTTTTTTTTTTTTATCCTTTTTTTTTTTTGATAAATAACCAAACTTTATTAAAAAAGTATCAAGATGATGCAAAGAATACAAACTAGAAGCCACATAGGCTCAACATATTAACAAGTCAAATCCTCCACGAAATCTACAAAGGCCAAAACATCAAAGATTAACCGAACCGGTCACCCAACTATGCAAAACCGTGAGCAACCGTCGTTCCAACCAAGGAACCGAATGAGACACTCCCTGGAAACACACCTATTATGCTCCAACCAAACCAACCAGACAAGACAATGAGAAGCAAGCAACCACACTTTCCGACGCCGCCTACCAACTCGACCCCCCATCCAACTCTACAAAACTGCCGTAACTGAAACCGGCTGCACCCAAGCCAATCCAAAAGTCGCGACAACAAGCATCCAAAGGTGATAAGTAACTGGACAATGAAGTAGCAAATGGGCCACCGATTCCGCATCACCACAACACATGCAACACCAGTTGACCAATATATGGCCACGGCGGATTATGTTCTCCAATGTCAAGATATGCCCCAACATGGCCGTCCACACAAAAAAGGCCACCTTCGATGGTGAACCTAACACCCAGACACATTTCCACGGAAAAACAACAGCCTCCGCATGAGCTAGCACTGCATAATACAAGGAAACAAAAAACTTCCCCTTAGCCCCAGGACAATTCCAAACCAAAGAATCCTGCCCATCCCTCCCAACTCCCAACTCATATAAAAAACCCAACAACTCCATCAGCTGATCTTGCTCCCAATCCTGAACATCACGGTGCAAGTGCACATTCCAAACAATCAAATCCCCATGCCCACGCCTTACATCACCCACCATTACCTCACTATCAACAGTAAGACCATAAATCAAAGGGAACTGCACTTCTAATGGAACGGCCCCACACCACATATCCCGCCAAAACCGAATTTTATCCCCCATCCCTACCTTCAACAGAACCCTCTTCCAAAAACTCCTCCCACCCCAACCAAATCCCTTTTCAAAGACCATGGCCATGCGATTGCCCCACCCTACCTGAACACCACCCTCCCTGCCCCACACCAAACTTCCCAACCACCACCCTCCTCCAAACAATTAGCACACCTAGTGATGATTTCTGGGGATGCTTGATGCTTCTTTCGTTTGGGTAACAAAAAAACTCACCAATTCTGGAAAACATTAAGGACACCTAGTGATCACTTCTAGGTATGCTTTTTTTTTTTCTCTTTTCCTTCTTTTAAGTAAACATAATATTGCCAGCTCATCTTCTTCTGGGTAATCATGTTCTATTAAGGGCTCTCTATTGCATCTCAATTTGCGCAAAACAAAATGACAATGGATTTTTTCCTTTAATAAACAGAAAACATTGTATTAAAGAGGGAACATGGCACTCCTTTATCAAAGAAGAATTTCTAGACCTAAGGATTGGAATGTCGAATGCGGAGGAAAGAAGTTGAGTCTCGAAACATCTGCAACCCAGTAACTAATAGGATTTAAGTTGAAAGAAGGTTATGAATTCATTTTGTATAAAGTGGTGTTCAAAATAATGAAGTGTCATGTGAACAGACATGGCAAAAAGAACTACCAAATCATAAGAGAAGCACTGTACTGAGGTTGTATATGGGAGAGAACAAGATAGCAAAAACGACAAAGGTTTGTAGTCAGATCTAATGTCGGTATGTTTAAAAAAAAAAAGAGATGCACCTTCAACAATTACCAGATAATCAAAACAACATGCGTTCTTGTAATGGCATACAGAACACATGTCTTGATGCCAATATTTAAAAGGAACTATGTGCCTTTAAACTTTGACAGATAAAGCAGGTAGGTGGACGTATATAATTAAAAAAGTTATATCAAATTGTGAGTGCGGAAAACGGAAAGAATAGAAGAACAAAAAGCACCTACATTTCCTTTATCGAAGTCTCCTCCTTGAATCATGAAATCCTTGATGACGCGATGAAATGCAGAACCTTTGTAGCCAAAGCCCTTCTCTCCTAAAAATTTTTTTATCGAATCAAAACACAATCAAAAGCTTAGTCACTTTAGTCAACAAAGAGAAGCAGACAAAACTAAACCAGTATCGTATAAGATCAAAGTATGCAACCTGTGCAAAGAGCACGGAAATTCTCTGCAGTTTGGGGGACATCATCTCCATACAAGCCTATTACAATCCTGCCAACAAGCTTCCCTACTGGATTTCCAATGCTCACATCAAAATACACTTTCTGTGTCACTTTTGATTGTAATTCGGCTACCTAGAATCGAATAAGCATATGTCAAAAGACACCATAGAACATACATATAGACCTTAGGCCTTCTAATAGTCACATAATTGTACCAGTTTTGGAACAATACTCTCAAAAAAAAATTAATTACAAAATTTTGCCAAGGTATTGTTTAAATGCAATGAATAAGCCCCTATGCAGGGACACCAATGGCAAAAATTGATTTCAGAGGTGCAGTGAGGAATGTAGCACAAGTTTGTAAGCTCGATTACCAGAAGTGTCTATGTTACGATGCATAAAAGAAGCTTCTCTACCAATACCAAGCTCAAAACGTAGAAAGCTGAGTGATTTCTCAATTCTCAGAAGGAAGAACATTTTTCAGTTCAGTAGCTTGAATTTATGAAATAACACAACTATTCGGACTTCTGAGCTCAATTTCTCATTTTTAAAATTTTTTTTTTTCTTTTTACAGGAAATTCATACATTAAGAAACTAAATTTTCTTATGTTCCATTTTCTTAAGAAACAAACGCATGGAATAGAAGTTACAAAGCAAAACACTGACCTCTGCAGAGGCACGAACCGAGCTGAGAATACCGGTTTTCCTGTGCGATGAAGTATTGGGTGAACATTTGAGAGGAGAGAGACGCAAAGGCGGTGCGAATAAGCTCGAAGACAAAGACGCATCTGAGGCCAATGCAGACTTGCGAACATTATTGATAGAAGCATATGCAGCGGGGCTGAGAAGCTTAATCTGCGAGAGGTTCCGTGGACCAGAAAGCGACCCAACATGCGACTGCGAAGAAGAAAAAGTTGAAAATTAATCAGAAACGCAGAAAGAGAATATCTATATGTGTAGTAGTTTGAGATTAGGGCTTTCACTGACCAGAGCTGTGAATGGAACAGCCATTGAAAGCGAGCTTTGAATTCTTCGCCTATTGAACTCTCTCTCTGTGTCTGAGTTTGTGGTAGTTGTAGATGATTTTTGGTGGTAGGTTGATGGGGTGGGATGGGGATAGCTGAGGAGGTAGAGAGAGAAACAGAGAGAGAAGGTAAGCTTGACGGAGATGACGAGTATGAAATTACTGGAATGGGATATGGGATTTTCGTAAATGACAAACACGTCCATTACGTTCTAGAATGGGAATATTCGGCAAAAGAATTTTTAAAAAATGGCGTCGCCCGGGTTTGAACCGGAGACCTTCAGTGTGTTAGACTGACGTGATAACCAACTACACCACGACACCAGCCCCATGTTGATGTCTGCTTGAGTCCAATAATATATTATAGAGTCTGCATTAAAGCCTCTGGTTGCACAGTTTCTTTAGCTTCTTACCCTTGCAATTGATAGCAAACCTCTGGTTGTCTTCATTGACAATTTACATTTCAAGGTGAGCTCACTGTTCAAATCTTTTGGTTCTTAAATGTTCATATTGCCCCCGTCATTTTATCTACTCTAAAATGGGGCCAACAACAGTGTTACTGATGCTAACTTTTTGTTCCAACAACTTAAGTGAACCACAGATATTGGAACAAGCTTAGCCCCATTAAGTATTTTTTTTTTCTTTTTTTCCTGTTATGTTGCTTGGTTTTTTTCACTCATACAAAATCACCCTTGGTTGTGTTACCAGTATGCTTGCTAAACTTGCAGTCTTTCCCTTTATCCATCCCCTATTCCTCACATGGTGGAGTTGCCCACTTTCCCTTTGTCTGGGTTAGTTTAGGACTGTTTTCTTTGCTTAGTTTTGGTAATGAGATCAAAATTCAACTTCGCCCCATTAACTTAACCATGGTGCATGTCATCTTGCCCAGGGCAATATAGTCTCGATCAAAAATTTCCCTTAATATGAACCGATATCGCCATAACAATAATCATACCTGAGAAAAAAAAAACAAAACAAAACAAAACAAAAAACAATGGCGAGCTTGTATTCTTCCCTAGCATAGATTTGTTGTCCTAGAGAGGGGAAGACAACTCACATCCATGAAACCGTCTGCGAAGAACATTTGCATACATGATTCTCTTCATTCATTAGTTTTCCCATGAAAAAACTGTCTGTACAACCTTTTTCTAACACCACCCCATCCTACATGGCTTTGACTTCTAAAGGACTAACAACCAGGCTTTTCCATCACTCACCCCTACATCATGAATGAGATGCAAATGGGGAACCCAAAAAAAAATCAAAGAATATCAACTACGAATGCTTTACAGAAATTAAATCCTGTACAGTGTTTCAAGAAACAGGAATAGTACAGTAGATCTACTAAATAAGGCTTTGTTAATCTTCCATCCGTTGAATCTCACCCATCATGATGCGATTACTCGTCACCTTGAACCCAAGAAGCGCCGGATCAATTTGCCTCCCTTTCTTCCCTTTCTTTTTCCCGCTCCGGCCAGCCTGTGTTCCGTCTGATGACTCTGAAGCTCCTGCTGCAGGACCCTCCGGTTGTGCTGGCTTCTTGGCATTGCTTTTAAGCATGTCAACGAACAATGGTTCCGAAACATCTGAACCAACACTTGATGAGGTTCGTCGAAAATGCGTGTTGTCTTTCTTGGCAGATGACAAATTGTCAGAACTGTGGCTTGCAGGATGGCCCCCTGGCTCACGTCTTCCTCCTAATAGATTCAAAATCAACAATAAGTGATTACTTTGAGCAAAAGAACACCAATATAACGGATGATACTAGAGATACCCTACATTAAGTTCTTCAATGGTTCAGATACCAGGTTCAAAATAACTTCTTTGATCTTTACAATCTTGGGACATGACCAACAAAACCAATATATCAGCCAAATCCAACATACGTGCCTTTGTTACTCTTGACAACCTTTAGTTGAATATTTAAATAATCCACTATTTTATGAGATATTGTCTATTTTGCCACACCAAACAAAGTTGAGGTGCTCTCCTCTCTTCCCAAGAAAATACACACCCAAATGTGTGTGTGCACGTGCACGAGAGAGAGGAAGAGGGAGAGAGAGAGAGAGAGAGTTGCACTGAGTAATGGTAACTGTGCATCATTTCCCACAAAGTGGAGAGCATTAAATCTCACCGAGTAAATGGTAACTGTGCACCATTTCCCACAAAGTGGAGAGCATTAAACTAGCTCGCCCTTCCCTAGTAGCAAAAATGAGAGGCACACTCACTCCTCTGCCTAACTGATTTTTGTGATTGGCAAAACCTTACACTGCAGTTATATGGAACACAAATAATCTCAAAGCATTAATTACCCCAACTTGGTAGATTTCAAATTTAACACATTGTAAATCAACATACCTTCAGAAGCAGCTGAAGTTGGAGGATGTTTCCCTCTGGTGACTGGATCAGAGGACATCTCGGACAACCCTTCTTGAGATGATGAATTCCTTGAGGCGGGTGGACGTTTCAGCAGAAAATTGTCCAACCCTTTGGATGTAAGGGCTGGTACCCTATCAAAAATAAAGTATAAATTAAGAAAGGTACGTTATCAAGATATCCAGAAGTATTGCAACTTATAATTGATCATATATCCATCCATCAGCTCCAAGATTGCAAGAATTATTTAGAATCACCCATATAAAATACTAATATGCCTATATCCAAAACAGAAATTCAGAGAAACACAGACTCAAGTAGTTTGGCTAAAAGAAAAGGACAGAAAAATGGACTCGTTTAGTCAACTTAAAAACTAAGATGACGCAACTTAACACTGCGTTAATAACTATCCTCATACTCAACTTCCATGGGAATAAAGAAGGCAAAAAGAAATAAAATGCATATTCAACTATCCTAGCACAACAGATCAAGTATGCTCTCTTTCCTCCTCCTTCAAGCCCCACCTGGTCAAAATATGATAATACGATGCTCTTACAAAAACAACGCAATGTGTGTTTGGGAAGGAAAAGATTGGTACACACCTAACCTTTGGCATAGTGCACAAAGTGGTTGCCCCGAGACTTAAACCCATAACCCCAAGGTTTTACCATTGAACCAATAGCATAATATGATGCTCTTACAAATACACAAAAATAATTGAGCTATTTAGTCTTCTCCTTTAAATATCAAAAGAAACTATGTAATACAGCATAAAGAATCGTTACCGGGCCTTAGCAACCTCTTCTGCGAAAGATTCAGAAATTCCAACTTTGTCATTGTAGAAGGTTGTAATCCCACCTGGAACCAATTTTCTCATCATCACCCACATAATCACATCAAAAAAATGGAAGCCAGTCAAGAAAAGATTTAGAGAAAATTACCAGCAATGCCAAGTGAATTATGCCTGCTGATGACATTAATTGGCGTTTCAACACGATCTACAACCGCCAACCCTGCCTTCTCTGCCATGCCTTCTTGAATATCTGAAGCTTGCCCGTTTATCATACCATCCTCAATTCTGAATCCTTGTTTTTTACTGTCCAAGTCTACGAAATCTCTTTCTGTATAGGACTTTGCAATCATGTTGGAATTCATGTAAATTGATTGAGAAGTTTCGTCGATGTCCGAAAAGAATCGGTCTCCTTCACTCAATACTCCAGAATTGGATCTAAGAGGCTGTCTTCTTTCACTGCTTTCCATAGCGCTAGCCTTCTCATCAGCCAACTGAACTTGTGGCAGTCCACCTGAATTAGAGCCATAAGGTCCCAAGGTAAATGATTGGTTTACACCAGCTCCACGATCTGATAAAAGACTGAAGGATTGATTAGAAGAGCTTGTTCCAGAATAGCGACCAGAAGGTGGTCTTCTGTCATAGGATACTCCATTGCTCACATCTATTGAATCAGCTGACTGATGACCTGATTTTTGATGGAGCAATTCCATAAGCAAACGCTTCGAATTATCATTGCTTGTTCCAGCTGACATCCACAAACTTGGATCTTCTGAAGTCATTTTAACTTCAGAATCCCTATTCTGCAATTCAGCATTCAAATGCAATTGTCGTATCCTAGATTCCATCCAGTCATTTGGTACCTGACCATTGCTCTCAGACCAGTGGCCCTCAATTGCATCAGAATGTGAAGCATGAAATTGGTTGGGAACTGAAGGGTGGTGAGAGTGGACACCAGAGGACAACCCACCCACTTGATTAGCAGAGTGCATTCGTGCACTTAGTTCCTGCATATCTAAACCTTGACCGTGAGCCAACGTATTCATGACATCCAGGTCCATTCCAGGAGCACCACCGGGCAAAGACATTGACCGCTCAAATGGCAATAGGCCAGGATCATAAAGGCCTCGTTGGAGTCGATCTTGTAATGAAAGATTCCGCTCAAGGTGACTCAGCTGCTCCTCAGGGGATGGTCTCTTTTGTTGCTGATAAAAATCTAATGGGCTAAACCCTGCAGAGTGAGCTCGCTGTGCACCAGCAGGACTCCTGAGAAACTGATTGGCTTCTTCACCAGGCCAGATAGAACCCATATGCCTTTCTTCCATTTCCAACCTCTGCCTCAACCCCACACCCAACTGCCTTGCATGCAACTGCTCCAATAGAAGAATCTGATGTTCCAAAGAGTGCATCTGGCCGTGCTTTGAACGTGATACAAGCTCCAATAAATCGCTTTGGTGCCCATGATGTGGCGTTTGACCAAATTTTGCTTGAATAAGATGCTCGAGGGATGGATCAGAATTCCTTGGAGCATGATGGGAACGCTGTTGTAGTTCATGTAAAATTTGTTGCTTCAACAAAACCTGATCAAGAGCATTGTTGGCTCTAACAGAATCAACACGAGACTGTCCACGGCCAGAATCACGCATTTGACTCTGCAGAAATTGTTCAAGAAGCAGCTGTCGAGCTTGAGACTGCTGTTGCTCCTGCAATAGCATTTGTTGTTGATGAAACTGCTGTTGCTGTAATTGATGTTGTTGGAGCTGCTGCTGCTGCTGTTGTTGTTGCTGCTTCTGCAGCTGCAGTGCCAAAAGGTGTTCCAGATCTGGGCCTATTTGGTTAGCCAGCTGTTGCTGGTGAATTGAAGTCCGACTTGGCACTGGTTCTAGCACTGAATCATTCAAGTGGGGATGAGGAGATAACAGATTACGGTGCTGCAGCTGTTGTTGAAATTGTTGAGACAAAAGCTTTTCTGATGCGTCAAAGCGGTTGGATTCTTGATCCACATGTGTTAACCGGCGAGCATCCATGGCATCTTGATACAAATTGGGGCCAGGAACTGTATTTCTTCTATAAATATCAGACCATGTCTCCGCAGTATGAGTTGAATCAACCACTGCACCAAAAGGGCCAATTCTTCCAGCGATAGGGTTGACAAACTGATCCTGAGCACCACTGCCTGATGGCATGTTCGACGTCTGGTTACGCCTTGTATAAGGGCCTTCAAGCTCAGACCACAACAACCCGAAAGGATGCAACTTATTGTTACTCTGATGAGGTATACCAGGTTCGGTAAATTCAATTGGCTGAGAAAGGTTGCCTATGGGATTTGCAGAAGGATCATTAATGCTAGTAGAAGTTTTCCCTATAGGATTGCCACCACTTCCAGGTCTCCCTGGAAACACAATTTCTGCACAAACAGGAATAGATAAATATTAGGACCAAATACAAGGCCCATCAAAAAGGTTAGTACAATTAACACCACAAACAAGAAAAGTAACCTTCATCTTGAGCAACAAAATCATGATAGCTTTGACCCTCAGTATATGGGAGTTGAAATGGACCGTCATGCTCAGAAATTCTTGACTGAACATGCTGCATTGGTTGACCATCAAACCTAGACAGTTGCCAGCGGTGGTCATTTAATGCAGACAAATCAGTAATTTCAGTAAAAGGGGCAGAAATGGGTAAACTAGGCCCTGATTTCTCTTCCAATGATCCAGGCTCTTCTACATTAGAACTTATACTGGCACTATAGGCTTGTCCATCTAAAACTCTCAGATGCGGCATGACCTCACCCAACTCTTGGAAAGGTGTTTCCTCTGGAGCATCTTCCAAGCGAACTGGCAGATCAGTCCCAAAAAACCCTTGCTCAAACCATGAAATTATGTCAGCCCCGAGAAATGGTCCCTGTATTTCTCCTTGAGGATCCCGATAGTACAAACTCAACTCCTCCGGTGGGATACCCCCTTCTAACTGATATTCATTAGGACGGCCCTGAAAGTACCGCAAATTGCCACTCCAACTCTGTTCAGAAGATGGAGAAACAAATAAAGAATTTGAATCATCTGGAAGCTTGGCACTGACACCAAAAGCACCATCATATGCAATGCCATCCAGAGAAGGATGTTTGGTGAAGGCAGAATCTGCAACTTTGAGCTGAGAAGCATTAATGTCTTGCACACTGCAGAAATTGTTGCTGTTTGAAATTGTTTGCATCAATTCATCTGATGCATTCATCCCGACAGTAGCTGCAGGAATTTCAACTTCCCCTTCACAATAAACATCTCCTTCTGAAACAAAGCAAATGTAGTTCCATTCAGAAGGAACCAAAAAATAAAACATATTGCCATTATAAGGGTCGAATAGGGATCATTACTAACCATTTATCCAATTCATTTTAGGACCCTCGTTGTTCAAGGTACTAAAAACATCAGCCTGAGAAATACCATCATTCACAGATCCTCCAAGAGAATCCACAATCTCGTCAGGCATAATTGAGGGCAAAATACCACATCTCCCATTGGTGGGTTCCAAGTCTTCAACATCTGGAAAAGAACAATTCCATAAGTTTCCAAAAAACAAGAAGCAACAAAAGAATTTATGGAATTTTTTTTTTAAAACATCAGATGTTTTTGGGTGAATAAAACATCAGATGTTACATTGCAATAAAATAGAGTGACAGCCCTTTCTAATTAATCACCTGTAACGTTATCAGTTGATTTGCCATTTCTAAATGAATTGTACGACACCCCACTACTGGTGATTTTGCCCTTCCATAAATCACCAAGGACACCCTGAAAACATTGCAGAAACTCATTTAACCCATCTGTGGAAAAACACAAGCATAGAACAGTACAAGTTAATTCAACATGGGGAGCCAATTCAAATAGCTCACCTCTTCTTCTGCATCAGGAGTGACAAAGGCCAATGGCTCAAGGACAGTAACTTCTGTTATAGGAGGTACTTCCTCCATGTGGTCAGGCATGACAGCAAAAGATGGATCCAGTTTTTGCCTGCGGTAAATGTCAAGAAGCTTCCCCCTAGGGTAGCAAAATGTAACAGCTGAGGAACTTGGTTTCCCAGGGACACTTTCAGACCTGTCAAATTGAGTAGCACCAAGAGAACCTGCAGATGGAGGTCTTACAACTGCTACACTTGATCTTCCCCGTCCTAAAGTAAACCCCATATTAGAACCCTCTGCCCTTCCTCTCTCAAGTCCAAAACCAGGTGCAGCACGGTAGGAACCTGGCCCACTAGAATTTCCCTCCATCCTATGGCGTGGCCTCCACTTGTCACGAGAATCTGACTCACGCTCAGGAACTGCACGCGGATTGCTGCCAACAAATGATTGACTATCACTGTGAGCATCTTCCTTCTCTATGTCTGTTTTTTTGTCGGCCCGAGACTCCTTATCTTTTTCTTCTGGACCCCACCTAGATGACCATTTGCTATCACGCCGTGTATCATGCCCAGAACTGCGATTAGTAACATCATGCCACCTATCAGTAGACAAAGCTCTATTGTCAGTGTTTTCTCTAACTGAAGTATTGTCAACACGACGGTCAGTCTTCCTGCGATCTCTTCTACCAAGCAAGCCAGTTTCCCTTTCTTCTTCACGCCAGCGGCGGCCACTTTCAGTCTCAGTTGCGGTTTTTCTCCAATCTCTTTTGTCCTCAGGTACATCTGGACGCCAGCCCTCCTTCTGATTGGGATCAGCAGAATTCCCAAGAGAAAGGGAACTTGGTCCGCGCATTTCCTGTCATAAATAAACCAGTCAAAAAGATGGTCTATATATTATGTTCCTCAATCAGATAAAGAGCACATCGACGTTCAGCTTATACCAATAAAGTTCTAAGAAAAAATTTGAGACAAGGAAATCTGCTTCGGACCTATTTTAATTGAACTTCCCCAAATATTCGCAAGATGATAGTTTTGTTGAACCTCAATGGTGACTACTGTTAGGCCCAACCAACTTTTTGTTTCATAAAAACAGCTAGCATGTTGCAGTAACAGGTTTAGGTTTAGTCTCAATTGAGACGATCAAAACTCGTGCACATTAAATTTCTACAACTCATAAAATTGAAAGTATGATTGTGTCGATAAAAGAAGTAATTGTATATTCTCTACTCTTACAAGTCATTGTTGGAGATGCTCTTACACATTAAATTTCTACTAGTAGATCCATACTAAAAAAATACAAGTTCTATTTTGAGGTCTCCATCAAGTTAAAGCTAATGCCAACCAAATTAGGTCAGCATTGACAACCTTGGTCTAAATGGATAAACATTCGGACGTGGCATTTATACTTTGAACTTTTGAAAGTGAACCTTTAAGAATTAAAGACAAGGTTTGTGGCATCATCCTTAAATAGTCAAGAGATACTATAGGTGCAAGCTTCCTTGAGTATGCAAAAAGAAATCTGTACAAAGACGAGAAGAAAAAAATGCAGCCACAATAATGCAAGCAAAATTAAAGCAAATCACCTAGAAAATAACCTGGAACCATACACACAAAAATTGAAGCAATTATATTTTGATGAACCAAAAGACCACACTAACAAATTGAAAATAAACTGAAACCCTGAAAAGACAGTAGACAGTCATTTATGTTTCTAAAATACACAACTACAAACATTTCATCAAATGCATACTAGTTAAATGGCTGAACCTGCAAAATGAAAACAGAATAAATATATAGGATCTAGACCCAACTGATAAGTTGCACGTAAAGAATACACACACAAAAGATATGTGCATGTGCATGTGCATGTGCATGTGCACGCACACACAGAGAGTCAACAGAAGTACCATGCAATTCAACAAGAAATTGTTATTAGCAAATCAATACAATAATAAAATTTGTATTTCCAGTGCAAATATAAAATGATAGAAAGAAGCATCAAAGATTGTTGTTATGTTAAAACAGAGCTATAGTCAGCTAATCATAGAGAACTCACCATCTTAATCTCACTTGGTTTAGCATAAAGCCACTGGGGAGACAAAGGAATGTTGCTTTCTAGTGCTGCTTGATCTGAAGTAGCTGTAAACAAATATGTAAAATTTCACGAGTGCAAAACGAACATGAAAGAACAAAATGTTCTATTAATTGAGAAATGACTCAATGCTACAAGATTGCAAAACCAAAACCCAACCTTTTGAATCATCAAGTAGCCCGATCATCCCTTTTTCATCACCATTTCCACCAGAAGCTTCCACTGTAGTGCCATCAACCCAATAAGGGTAAGTATTAATTTGTAGCTTGATTCAGAAAATTCAATCTAAATTATATAAATTAAATATAAATCAAGCATTAAGAAACCAACCCAAATTAAATAAAAGGTAGGGAACAGCACTCAGAATTCTTATAATGAATGCCAAAACTCATCAGCAGAAATTGTAGGCAACACAAGAAAAAAAAATGCATAGATGTGATATGATAAAATACACAAACTTTAAAATAGGCAATGCATAACTTAAGAGCAGTCATTGGATTGACTACAAATGGCAATAACATAAGATTAAACAAACAAAGAACTTAAGAGCAGTAGCTGGATTTGACCGTATATGACAATAACAAAAAATTAAACAGACAAAAAACTCCAACACTATCTCTTAAACACCATTAGGTTCATTACCCCTCTAAGAAAACAGCTCAAAAAAAAAAACTGGAAAAAATAATTGTTGAATTGAAGACCAATATTGCTAAACTAAATAAAGAACAAGACACATAATATGTTAGGGTAATCTAACTACACAATACCCTATCTAAGTGCAAGATCTGTGTCCCCAAAATGGTGTCAATCCCCCTGTCCTACACTGATCCTTAATTAATTTTGAATATAAAAAAATCGGATTCGATGGCCGTGAATGATGTACCCACACCTTTTTTGGGACAATGGATTCCAGCCCCCTGTTTAATGTGAACCTTACCAAAAAAGTTGCCAAATTAATCATCCACACAAACGTTATGGTCTCCAAAATCATGAATCTTAGTAATAAGGCCTAACTCTAAGTGGTCAGCCAAAAATAAACAATGATTGCCACTCATCGAGCAAAGCAGAAATGGACAACATTAACAGGCAAAATAACCTGGGAATTGCCAAAATAGTCAGCACCAACAGATCTCATAGCAGGCAGGGGGAAATGGCATTGATTTCCCAACACAACATATTAGTACAAAATGAGCAAAAATCGATTTGAAAACTCAAAATCAATACTTGATCACCAAGAAAACATACGAAATAAAATAGAACTTAAAATCCAAACAAATGCGCAGTTTTCTTCCTCCTTTTTCTTTCTTTCCAACTGTTTCCCAGGCAATCAAGCAACACGGGAATTATGTAGTATCGTTTCACAACTAAAGCAAATCAGAGTACGAGTAATTATTATTATTATTATTATTATTAATAAAAACGTGAAGAGCAGAACCACAAGGCAACTGATCTGAAACACCACCGAGAGACGAATCCGAAAATGACTTGGAAGCCCTAAAATTTCAAACTAAAAAAATTGAAGTGTCAGCAAAAATTCAAATACAATCAGATCAATAATCCCCAACCTAACATTAACCACATAACGATCCAATCCATAAAACTAAAAAAACCAAACCCAATAAAAATCATATATGGAGATAGAGAGATGCAAAAGAATGAGTACCTTTGGGGGTCCAGGACTGATCGGACGATTTGGAAGAGAGAAGATCATCGGGAAGATCAAGCTTGCCTTCAGCCATGAGATTGTCGATGAGTCAGGGAGTTTGGTGAGAAGATCGAGAGCAGGGGAAAGGAGTGATAAGGGGTGGAGGAAACAGAGCAGCGAGAGAGAAATACACACAGAGCAGAGCTTGTAGAGATATGAGTGAATGAGATTCGAGATTTGAGAGATTCCTAGGGTTTCGAAGCTTTTTGCAGTACACTAGCAGAGAGAGAGAGAGAGAGAGAGAGAGAGAGATACCGAGAGCGAGAGGGGTGAAGGTGAGGAGAAGGGTGAGGGTTTGGGTGGTCAGAACAGCCAAATCAGCTAATCAATGATTATGATTTTTCATTTTTTAAAAATAAATAAATATATTAAAAATTTATTAAATTCATTCAAAAGATACATTTACGAAAAAAGACACCTGGGGCGAGCTTTTATTTCGAAAATGGTCCTGCGAACTCTTATCTTGAATTTGGCAAAAGCTTAACATTGTTTAATCTTATAATTGTGTAAAAATTATTTTTTGTATTTTAGAAAAAATAAGAGTTCTGTTATATCATACAAATTTATTAACACCCCCCTCCCCCGCGTCGTGACGTGCTTTGTTTGGTAGGAATTGAATCTTAATTGTTATTTTTTATACATTTGTTTTTCGTTCTATTCGAACTTACATTTATCCTCTTTTCAAAACTTCTCCCACTCTCAAATGAGACTCTACTCTCATCAAATAAATCACTGACGATCATCAACGACTACCACTAAGGAACCGGCCATCTCTCTCCTAACTCTCATATTTCATCTATCTTCTAGCTCTCTTCCTACATTTCTCCCTCTCTAACAATGACTTTCTCTCTAGTGCGACTCTTAGGTAAGCTCTGACATGAATTCAGTCTCCGACGTGATCTAGTTTCTTGGCAAGATCTGATTTCTAGATTTTTCTGTTAATTTGTTGATTTTTTTGTTATTGGGACCAAATTTTTATGTAAATCAAAAGTAATTTACAATGTTATAGTTGTGGTTACTAGATAATATCAATGCATGGTAACCTTGAGTTTAGGAACTATATCAGTTATGATTTTCTACAAATCTCAGGTCATGTTTAGTTTGTATCTGTGAAATAATTTTGAAAAAAGAGTTTACAAAATTTGAATGAATGGGTATAAGAGAAAAAGTGATTTATTGATATGTAGAATGTAAAAAAATGAGATATGAGAGAAAAAAAATGATTGATTGATGTATAGTAGATAGAAAAGTGATTTTGACTTCTCTTTTTTTTCAAAATTTTTCAACCAAACAAATTTTTGAAATTTTTTCTTGAAAATTATCTCTCAAAAGACAAACTAAACAAGGCCTTATTTTTTTTTCCCTTTCCTTTATTTGATTGTTGCTTCAACTCGGTGATAAGAGGAGGGTTACACATTGGCGTTGATGAGACGAAGTGACGACGGTGATGAGAGGAGGGCAAGGCATTGACGAGAATGAAAAGAGGGCGAGATATTGACAATGATGAGAAACTTATGAGAGAGAGAAGAAATGATCGTATAACAAAAAAACAAGAGTCCTAGAGAAGGAGAAAGAGAGAAAAAGAGAGAGTGAAAGAGGGTTTACACTGATCATGTGTCAAGTCAAGTCATTCGGAGGGTTCGAGTGGGTTATTTCTATGTGAATAAATCATTATTGATAAAATATCATCTTTTGATTTTTATCTTGTGTGCTATAAACATTTGTTAACCTCATTTGTTTTTATTTTTAGATTGGGATGTTAACCCTTTTAATATTGGCAACTTGATGGAACCACAAGAAATAGGTTTAGCCAACAATTGCTTTGACATATACCAACTATAAATACACGTATAACAAATGTTTTTTAAAACCTTTTTATATAAATGCTTATGTTAGAAAGTTGATTAAAAGTTATTTTTTGACTTTTTTATATCATATTATTGCTCTATTTTTTTATACATTTAAAAAAAAATTAAAAATTAACTTTTAACCTAATTCTCAAAATAGACCAAAATCATTCATTATAATAATATATCAGTAACATTTTTATAGGAAAAATTGGTGAAATATCCCTCTCAATCTTTGGATAGTAGGAAAGACCCAAAATCTTTTTTTTATTATTAGTTAAGGTATATCGATGAAATTTCTCTGTGATCATACTAGAGAAATCAAATAAATTTCTTTGTGAAATTAGGAAATTTCTCTGTGTCGGGATGAAATTTCTCTGTGAAAATGTTGAGAGACTCCAACTATTATGAAAATATTGTATGTCTTTTATCTTATAAAATCTTAATATCAGAAACCTTAAAAAAATTCATTATTTTTATATTAAAAGCAATCTTAATATTTTTTTTCTTAAAAAAATGAAAAATTTTAATATGTACACCCTTAAAAATGGTATACCATATGCACTCCTAATTATATTAATTTTCTTATTTAGTTATGACCAATTTTTTTCTTAGTTATAACATTATTTTAGTTATAACTCATGTTGTGTTTAATCATGACATTTTTTATTTTTTTTTAATTATGACCCAAAAAGTATATTATATCATTTTCTTATTTAGTTATAAGGTGCATATGATACATAAGATCCATTTAGATAGATATAAATTTAAAATGCATGAATTTGATATTAATCATCAAGAAAAATAACTCAATTTAAATTTGATTGTTTACATATGATTTTAAGATTAAATTAAATAATTTTATCATAATAGATTTAGAATAACTATCTAAAATTAATTTTATAAATTATCTTCTAATTACAAAGATCCTGCTATAAAATACATATCTCCTATTTTAACTTATCTTTTTATAGAATTTTTTATACACATATAATAGCTAAATTTCTAATATTTTTAATATTAAATTTCTTGATTTAAAATTCTCACCCATCCAAATGGGCATTTAAGTTTTTAAAAAATAGGTAAATTATAAATGCATCCCTTAAGGTTTGCTTAAATTACAGATTGTGATTTGAAAAATTATAAATAACTCTTCATTAGAATTTTTTATTTAACATAATTAACTAAAAAAAATAAAATTCATAATTATTCTCTTATACGTGAATAAAATTACCTAAATTATTAATTAAAATATATTTCTAACATCGTTAAAAATTGTTAATTGACTTAATGATTTATTAATAAAATGGGCGATTTATTATGAAATTAGAAATCTCAATGAGTGAAATGTAATTTTCAAAACTGTAGGAGGCGATTCACATTTTAATAAAACCTTAAGAGATGTATTTGTAATTTTTCCTTAAAATAGACTACCGGGGGCAAAGCTGTGAACCCAAAAACTTTACGAACACCTTAGGATGGACAATCTCGTAGTGTAAGGATTTATGGTTTGAGATTTACAATAAAAATGGAATTTTAATTAAATTAGTGTTGAATATTAAATTATATTTTTGATTGATAAGTTATTAATTTTTTATTTTTTATTTTTTATTTTTTAATAGATTGGATATAGACGAGTTTTAGTGGTTTGGAGTAAAGTAAGTTATTTTACGTTTGATTCCTCTGATGACAAGATAATTTTTTGACGGAAAATATGGTGATAAAAAAAAATTCGCCCTAAACCAATTTGCCGAGCAAAATATTTTGATTTTTGAAGACAAACATATTTTTGTGTTTAAACAACTACTTTGTTTTACAGTAGGACGAGTTGTTTTTTATTTTTATTTTTTTTTTGGTTGATATGTATAATAAAATTAACATTAAAATCTTAAATAATATCTTTTCTATCTTATCTACAAGAAGGTTTATAATTCACACTAGTTATGCTAAATTAATTATTTGTGTAAATTACATTGATACTCAATGAGGTTTATATTTATTACAGTTCTTCCTCTTACGTTTTGAAAATTACATCTTCTTCTTTGAGATTTAAAGTTTCATTATAGATTGCCCCTCAGCAATTTAATTTTTTTAAATATTAATTTTGCCCTTACTGGATAAATTACATTAACACACCTCACAGTTTGAAAATTACAATCCCCTCCCTATAGTTTAAAATAGCATTACGAATTGCCCTTTTTGTTAGTATTAGTTGGAAAAAAAATTATTTGAAAAAAAATTTAATTGAAAAAAAAATTAATTAAAAAAAAATTTGTTAATAAAATTTTAAAATTTCTGTTTAAAAACCAACGTAAACTCATTTTTTGAATATACGTTTTTTCCTCAAATTTACAAACGGAGACAACCATTTATAAACCAAAAAAATTATCAAACAAGTTTTTATGACAGTTTTTTAAATTTTTATAAATATAAATTGAAAAATGAAAACGAAATGTTTACCAAACAGGCTTTAGATGGTAAAAATGTCGTAAAATTAACAAATAATTAAATAAGTTACCAACGTAAGAAATGACTTATCAAAAGATTCTTAGGCTATGTATGGTTTGATTTTTAGAAAAAAATTTTAAAAAATTAAAAATTAATCTAGTTAAGAAATAAAAAACAAAAAATAATTATCATTTTTATATAATTTTTATCTTTCGAGTGGTTAGAAATAATTTTTTACAAATTATATTGAAACAACCATACGTATGTATATAACCTGTCCAAAAGTTAAAATGATAATTATTTTTTATTTTTTATTTCTTAACCAAATTAATTTTTAATTTTTAAATTTTTTTTCTAAAAATCAAACCATACATAGCCTAAGAATCTTTTGATAAGTCATTTAATTAATTTTTAATTTTTTTAAAAAAAATTCTAAAAATCAAACCATACATAGCCTAAGAATCTTTTGATAAGTCATTTCTTACGTTAGTAACCTATTTAATTATTTGTTAATTTGACGACATTTTTACCATCTGAAGCCGATTTAGTAATCATTTTGTTTTCAGTTTTCAATTTATATTTACAAAAATTTTAAAACTGTTATAAAAACTTGTTTGATAATTTTTTTGGCTTATAAATGGTTGTCATAGTTTGTAAATTTGAGAAAAAAACGTAAATTCAAAAAATGAGTTTATATTGGTTTTTAATCAAAAATTTAAAATTTTGACTAACAAAAAATTTTTTCAATTAATTTTTTTTTCAATTAATTTTTTTTCAACTAATACTAACCGAAAAGGCAATTGGTAATGCTACTTTAAACTTTAGGGAAAGGATTGTAATTTTTAAAATGTGAGGGGTGTCAATGTAATTTACCTAGTGATGGCAAAATTGGTATTTAAAAAAATTAAATTAATGAAGGGAGAATCTGTAATGAAACTTTAAATTTCAGGGAGGGATATGTAATTTTCAAAATGTGAGAGAGGGAACTGTAATAAACATAAACCTCAGGGGTATAAGTGTAATTGACCCTAATTATTTTTTGTTATATTTTATCTAAATATTTTAATTTTATAGTTTGACCCTCGTGTTTTATAGAGGGTTGACCACTTAAAAACATTTTAAAAACTTAGGTGGGCAGTCACAAATTTGTTATTTTTTTTTTTGGAAAAAAACTTAAAAGAAAAAAATTAGTATAACTTAAAAATATGGATAATGTTATATGTACCAATTAGTATACTAATTAGTGTATCAATTGATGACGTGGCATGATTTAAGAGATTTTTTTATATTTATATGTGATTAATGAATGTGGTCAATAATAATATCATAACTAATATTGATACACTAATTAATATATTAATTGGTACATGTAACAACAACATAAAAATAGTTAATAACTAAAGTGAAAATATTTTTTTGAAATCAACCAACGATGGATGATGATTAGTGATAGTTATCTTCTATCTTCTAAACTATTAATAAAAGGGACAACTTGTGTTCTCAAGTCATCTTCACTTTAATGCCATGTGTGTCTTTCACTTTAATACCAAGTGTCTATTTTGTCATTAAGAAAATATATATATATATATATATATATTCATTAAAAAAATTAGACAAATAATAGGCATAAATCTTGAATTATGGACAAATAGTATAATAAAAAAGACTCTTATCATTTGAATCAAACACAATATAAATTGTTGGGTCAATTCCACATCGACCAGGGAGGGACACTGCAACCAACTTATAAGTATACTGGCCCCCTCCACCTTGCAAGAGGCCTTTTTCCCTGAGAAGGAACAAAACCGTGAGGCTCCGGCCAAAGCGGACAATATCTTGTCGGGGTGCAAGAAGCCAGTCACGTAAGTTTGGTGGCCCATGCAGGTCGTTCGGCAGACCCCCCGCTTTTCGTGGCCCAGTCTGCTGAGGGATTATGTTGGGTCAATCCCACATCGACCCTCCCGGGATTATGTTGGGTTAATCCCACATCGACCAGGGAGGGACATTGCAACCAACTTATAAGCATACTGGCCCCCTCCACCTTGCAAGAGGCCTTTTCCTCCGAAGAGGAACAAAAATAGCCCCCTTCACCTTGCAAGAGACTTTTTTCCCCCGAGGAGGAACAAAACCGTGTTGCAATGTCCCTCCCTGGTCGATGTGGAATTGACCCAACATAAATGATAAATATTCTATTTTATTTTACTTATTTAAATTACACACACATTTCGTGTAATGGTGATATAAAGTAAACACCCATGTTAGTGTTGGTGTCCTGAAACTTCCTTCTCCATTTGCTAAATGTCTATGTCTCCATTCAAAACAACAATAAAATTATATAAAGGAGGTGTATGAGACTCAAATATTATACTTAAAAATTAGATAAAGGAGGGAGGACATGGAGCTCAAATATTAAACTTTTTGTTTGCTAAAGAAAGCTATTTAGACATGCATCATTTGTGTCAATTGCTAGTTGTAAGGTAACGACCACAACAAAGATGCTAATTAGACTCTAATCTTGTTATTAATTAAATTTAAATAAAATATTCTAACTCAATTTATCTCATTCTTTATTGATCATAAAAAGGTTTTCCTTCATGCCAAACACAAATAAATACTAATATAAATGCTAACGTTTTACCCCAAAAATTTCATTGCAATTGCTAACAGAAAGCTATGAAGTAGATTAAACCAAGTTATGGACTTCTTGTTTTGTGTTCTGTGTGTGTGTGTTTTGTTTTTTTAATAAATTTTTATCAGAGGAAACAAGAGCAGAAAAACAGGGAAAGGAAGCAAAAAAGGCTAACTAACATCTACCAAAAAACCGTCTATCTTTGGATGAGGGTGAGACACTCAGTCAAGGGGTAACTGGTTCTTTAGATGGGCCTAAGCCACCCAGTGGGCTACCAAATTTGCTGAACGAGGTACCAACAAGAAAGAACCAAGCTGAACAGCCTCACAATCCCCAGGCAGAACAGCTTCAGTTGCACTGAGGTGAATAGCCAATTCGTTATCACCTTCAATCTCTGCATTGGACAAGTTTCTGGCCCGAGCAAGCTGACAAGCAAGACGGCAGGCTAAAGTTTTGACTTGGAGAGGGAAGGAGATGCTCACGTTGTGTCAAGTCAAACCATTAAGAGGCTAACCTTTTGAGGCCCGAAGAATCACCTCAATACCATTTGTATTCCGATATTCAATGGAAAATGTTTGAGGGTTACAATTTTTGTAGCCTTTAAAACTGCCAAAACGACCTCATTTTGGATGCAAAACATACCCAAAATGACGTTGACAGTTTTGACCACAAAAATTGTAACCCTCTAGCATGCATTGTTGATATTCAATACCATCAAACCATCCAAAACCCATAGCAATCCATCAAAGGAAATTTCAATTAATAACAATTGAAAGGGAACTGGAATCATCTCAAGCAATATGAACACACAAAATGTCCAAGACAAGGAAAATTTAGTTGAAACATGAAAATTAACAGTTTGCAATTAGGAACCAAATTACAACACACAAAACTGAACACAACCAAGAACACAACAATCTATTTGCTTTCAATGTCAGTTAACCCAACTATGCACATCAAAACAACTTTATTCCATCCATTACCCATCACTAAACCCAAAAAACCTAAATTCTTTACAGCAAGCAATACCCAAAACAGATTATTGCTTTCCGCAGTTGTTCTGACCTGGGGTTCAGTCCAATCCATCGACTGTTCCAGTGACATGCCTCGTCTTCTTCTTCTTCTTCTTCTTTCTCAGCTTGTCACAAATGAAAGCCCTCTCCAGATGCTCAACCCTCTGCACCAGCGAGCTCAGCATTCGAGTTTGCGTGTCGTTTCTCTCGACAAGCTGCCTCATAAGACTCATCATTTTCTCATTGTCCTCCATCACCCTCTCCAGAAGTTGCTTGTTATAATCTCCTTTATCTCCAGAATCCACGCAACCTTTCAAGTTCTCTTGCGCCTGCTCAGCTCCAAGTTCGTTCATTACATCAGCAAAACTTCTCTGACGATTCAGAGAGGACAGTGTTGGGCTTGTCTCCACACTCTCTTCTGCACAATCACTCAATGCCAGGGTTGGATTTTCATCCTCATCAATTTGCTTCACAACACAACCATCTTCATCCCCATTCACTTCAGATTCTATTCCAACCTCAGTAATATCCATCTTCTCACAGATTTCATCTTTAGTTCCCGCAATTGCCTCAACTTTAACAGAATCATGTGCCTCTTTGGCATCTGGTGCTTCAGATTGCTCGAATTCCAATGCCTGATCATCATCAATTAAAACACTACCTTCAATTTCTAGGGTTTGATTCTCAGCCGAATCTTTGATTTCTAGGGTTTGGTCGTTAGATTGATCCTCGTCTACAACATTGCTTGGGGCTTGATTGCCAGAAGCAATGTCGTCGATTCCCTCCTGCAACGCAATCGCCTTCTTAATCACAGCCTTCCTGAAATCCCTAACCCCAGAATCGACTCCGCGAACAGAATCCAACTTGAAGAGCAGCGCCATAAGCGTCTCGCTCACTCGCAATCGCTCCTTCGAGTTCCTCCGAATCAAATCAACAATCTCGTTCTGCGAAACCTTCCTTTCGACCTCCTCAACCTCGCGCTTTATGGAGACAATCCTCTTCACGCTCTTCCGCACCACGAAACCTCTGAAAACCCTTCTGGATCTTCAATGCCGATGCCGATCTGCTCGTCTCCGATCGCACGAAGTGAACCGGAATCGAAACGACCTTCGGTTTCGATGAAGATCGAGGGCATGAGGGTTGGGTCCACTGGCTTCTGAAGAAGGGACTATCCATTATTATATCACGAAGCTTCTTAGAACAAATTGAAGATTGCTTTGAGTCTGTGTGTTTGATTTTTGTGTTTTTGAGATTGTGGCAGAGACGATCACGGGTTGAGATATATTTATAGGAGAGATGGAGGGAAGGATGGGGAGGGAAGTTCTAGAAGGTTCAGGAGAGTAGCTTTTAAGGGAATGATTCTAGATGGTTGTGGATTCTTCTTCTGCGGCCACCGGGGCGCCCCGCGCGATTAATTTGTTGACCAATCGGACTCCATCGTTTTAATTCTTTGTTCCATATTTCTTTGATAAAATATTACGGTAATTAATATTAAATACATTTTTTAAATTTTCAAAAATTTAGCTTGGGTTATTACTAAAATGGATTAAAGAATGGGTCAAAACAAATCCCAGATAAGGTGTTGTAGCATCTCTAATATTAATTTTTTTTATTATATTTATTATCAAATTTAAGTAAAAATTTAGGCTTAATTTGACATGTCTAAAAAAATATAAAAAGTTAAAAAATTATTTAAAAAATCAAAAAGTTATCACTATTCACTAAAAATAAATATTAAAAATTAATTTTACATACAAAATTACAAGACAGATCTGACCGGTTCAGATCTGCACCTTTATTTTTTAAGAAAAATTGCACAGTTGGCGTACAATTTTAACACGCTGTTGTTCGGCCCGTGGGGGCCCATCACTGTCTCATTTTGATAATCTAAATCATTCAATATGTAAAACTCGTCGAGTATTATATGTCTGTAAAAAATCACATTGATTGGATATTACTAATTACATGATCAAATCAATTTTGTATAAAAAATAGATAGTGTTATAATTAACGGTTGAAAAAAAACTTATCTGATCAGATAGTTATCGATATCCGATCAACGTGATTTTTTACAGACATATAATACTTGATGAGTTCTACACATTAAATGGTTTAGATTATCAAAACGGAACCCGTGATAGCCCTCATAGGCCGAACAACACCGTCCAATGCAACGCCCGAAAAGTAACCAATCATTTCTTAGCAATCAGCTGCGCAGATAGTACGACTGTACAACTCACACTCCTAATCTTCCCCTACACACTAATTTATACAAATTTTTAATACACATTTTATCATAAAAAGAAGGTCAAAAAATTAACCCAAACAACTATCTTTTTTTCCTCAACTTTTTAGTCTAAAAAGTCAAAAAAATACACTTATTTAGGACACCCCAAACAACCCCTCAAAAACTTCATCTCATATGGAGGACTCCAATAGTAGTAGTTTTTTTTTTTTTTTGGGAAAAGTTCTAAACCTATCTTAAAAAATATGCATTAGAGATTTGGTTAAAAATTTAATTTATCATTGATTTGATGAAAAACTATCTTTTAAAAAAATTTCTCTCTTCATTTGACAAATTCAATAAAAGAATTGGATCAAACGTTTAGTCACAAATTGTCATGCCGCTACTGTCAGAACTGTTCATCATTTTCTTCTATGGGAAAATAACTCGCATTGAACAATTACAATCATACAACAAAAAAAAGAACTGTTTTGGTTGCTTTTATTTTCCACAAATACAACATTATTATATGCCTGGTTATTATTCATACAAAGGGTGTGAAATTTAAAGGGCATTCATTCTGGTAGGAATCTGGATACCTGCTCTCTTCAAAAGTTGGCTAGAAGCATGCTTTGCCATTGAAATGACTTCTCCCTGCGAATTAACAATATGCATCCACATGAATCCTGTGAACTTCTTAACTAGAAAGAAAGGGCAAAAGCAACAAATGTTTGTTATTATACGCATCTTCCCATATTTCAGTTAAACCACAGGCAGATTGTGAAAATCCAACTTATAGACAAGAAATTTTGACAATATGGAAATATCAAATACAGCTAGCTAAACCCTGTAGATCCCGAACTCCTATTCCACTAACCAGCTCTTTAAAGATAGAATTTGCGGCCCCACCTATTGAACCAGATTTATAACTACACTTTCTTTCATCACACTAGATCTATGAATCCAAAATGACACACGAACACAATATTTATATTGTAGCTTTGTTATCTCTTCTTGGGCATCCTATATTGTTAGGGAAGCAAAGGTCATCAGTGGTTACAGTTCAATACAGCACTTACTAAAATAAGATAAGAGTCATGCAGAACCACTGGTATATTAATGATTCCTGTAGTACAGAAACTTTCATTTTTAAAATTGGACTTTCATATGAGACCATGGGTACAGGGACTGACAACCAAAATGCAGCTGAAGTTGGAACAAAAAATAATTTGGAGTATGCAGCCCCAAAGGTAAAATTAAGACTCATTATACATCCACCATCAAAAGCCATCCCTCCCTTTCCCTTGCACTGTCAAAAAGTTGCAAATTCTGTTTCCTTTTATCCCTTTTCTGTTTCCTTTTTCTCAATAAGTGGCAAATTCCAAAGATTTTGTCCATAACTTCGACATTTTCTTCCACATTTTGCTAGACAAATTCCACTCTCTATGAGACTTGATTAGACTTGTCATTCAGTCAACTTTGTGAGTAAACTGATTGTAGAGTGTCTTAAAAACAACTATCAATAAATTATTTTTAACTTCATCTAGGAAATTCGTCAAGGTTTTAAGTGGAAAACATGTTTAATTATACAAAAATTGCAAAAGCAGCAAAAATGTTAAGCTTCTTGACATAGGAAGGAAATCCAAAAACGTTGTACTCCTTGACGTGACGTGACATGTAAAGGTCTTGACCATTGCACATGATTCAACACTTAATGAAAAAAAAAAATAGAGTCTAAATACATGTAAAAATCGATATAAAAGATGCAAAAGTATTTAAACATGCAAATGCAACATTTAGGATAAAATTTTTAAATACAAACAGAAACAGGTATTCGAACCTCATCCACACTCAATATTTTTTGATCCTTCATAATCCAGCGGCCGTTGCACATAACTGAGAGTATATTTTCACTTCGCATGCAATATACAAGGCTGGCTATGCTGCATATCAGTTCATATAATAAAAAAAAAAGAAAATATACAAGGCTGGCTATGCTGCATATCAGTTTATATAATAAAAAAAAAAGAAGGGGGGAATTATTCCATATGAAAATTTTAACGTAGGAGATTGCTAAACCATGGCCTTTCAAGTTTTATTCACAACCCCCTCACTTGAATCAAGGAGCCACTCAAGTGAGAGGGAGAACTGTGGATTTGTCAATCTCCTTTGACATTCTATGGAGATCCAACCAAGTTGCATTTGGACTCGCCCAGGACCGAATACAAGTTACACAGCAGCAGCAAAATCTTACAATGAAAAAAATTGTGTTGAAGTACTGCATAACGTCTCAAGGATAGATTCATACCTGTCATGCACAGGAACCATAGGCCAAGAGAAAGGGTTGACTATGATCATGTCAGCCTACCAAATGGTGAAGGCAAACAAAATCAGCCTCAACTTCATGGAATTGCATCAAGAAGGGCTAAGAATTGTGAAGATGAGAACTGATAAAGGGTAATAAAGATTGTTCATATTCTTATGTATACCTAGAGTAATAATCTTGAGGAGGTAGTAATAATCTTGAGGAGGTAGAATTTGATTGACTAATGTTTTTATTATCTCAAAAAAATAAAAAATAAAATAAAAATGACATATATGGAAGCTCAATTTTCTGCCTCAACTTTCTTCCCTAGTTCTTTAGTGTTCATATTTGCTATTCAGCCTTTGTTTCTTTTTCCACACAAGGTAGTACCACATTGAAAAGCGGGTTGAAGTCTTAAACACTAAATTGTTGCAATTCGAAGATGAGAGACCAAAGTGAAATTTGGATAAAAGTTCAAGGTAAAAAGTGTAATTTACCCCAATTTAAACATACACTTAAGTGCAACTGTTGGGAATCTTCTTATTTCAATACTGGAGGACTTTCTATTGTATTAATTTTGAATTTTATTTACATTTTCTGTCAATGTTTCTTATCATAGACTTCAGAGATAAGTGCCTTATTCAGTTAACTAAGGCTGACCCTATGTAACGTTCAACAGAAAGTCAAGCTATGAAATATATTTCCAAGATAGTTACAGACTTGAAATGCCTACTCATTTTCTGTATTAAGCAGGAATAGGAAAACATAAGGAGGGGGAAAAAGCAAAAGAAGCAAGATGAAGCTGAAAAGGAAAAAAATCAACTTGGCACAATGTATCCCAATAAGATGGGGCAAGGTTTTAGGGTGGTACTAACCCTTTTCCCAATCTCAAGTGACCCTATTTCATTGTCCCACAATACTGATTTGGCACCATTTACAGTCACCATTTTGAGAATCGTTTCAGCAGGAAGAGCTGTAGGATCAGTTGTTCCCTTCACATAAACTTCTCGTCCTTTGTTGATCAGAGAAGCTAGGTACATCTCATCAACTGTACAGAGACACATCCATAGATAAATTCACAACCACTGAAATTGCTATGAGCACACTGGAAGCAACAGAAAGGTTTGATTGTGTATTGCTGGGGATGAGAAGGTACTCTGGAAATTTGTTGATCAAGGGAATGCAGTTAAACCAAGATTTTGCCGGAATTAAACATACCAATGCTCATTCTATTATTGGATGGTGCCCCATCAGTTCCCAAGGAGACACAAATGTTAGCATCAAGCATTTCCTTTATGGGTGCAAATCCAAGCATTCTCATTGCAGCAGCAGGACAGTGGGATACTTTTACCCCAGCTTTTGAAAGAAAATTTATCTGGAACAAATAGTTTAACACAAAAGACACTATCAAGCAACTATAACCGTTGTCACGTTTCACGCAACAAGTGATTCATCCTTAAACATAAAAAAATTACAGCATGAGACTAAACATATCCATATCACTACCCACGTAACATGAACTGAATAATGTGAAGTCAAACTTTCTAATGGAGCTTTAAAAATGTGGGCCATCCAACCCCCATCCAATTTTTTTTAATAATAAAAATAAATAAATAAGAACGAACTGAAGGGGGTAGTAGGGTATTCTTGCATACACAATCAGCTCCAGCATTGGACAGGGGGCTGACTTGTCCAAAATATAGTGATTACAAAAATTTCTGATATCATCAAAGATGCAGCGCAGTAGAAAGAACCACCACTCACTCCAAGAACAAGAATATGTAAAGCAAGCAAGATGAGAAAATTTAGAAGCTCTCACACTTCTCCTCACTGACACAGAAGACAAATCTGAAAGCTCCCACTCTACAATCTCAGATTAGTTGATTGGTAGTCAGAAGTCAACTACAGTGACACACATATGACCGCTCATACAAGTGTAAAAGCAAATCTACATTCCACTTCACTTTTTTTTTGAAAATTTTGACTTATTCTGAATTTGTTTTCTACATCTGGTTGCACAAGTAGGCAAGATTAAGCAGGTTGGACATGGTATTAATAACATGCAACATGGAATGAACAAGGATAAAAAAAAATTAAAAAAAAAATTTTGGGGGGGGGAGGATATATGCCGGGTGTCTCATGGAATGAGCGGGGAGGATTACCTCAGTTTCATTGACCCAAACACTGTGAGCTGCCAGCAAATTGCTTTGTAGGAATTTGATTTTCTCCAGGTATGTAACTGTCCCATGTTCAACTTCTCGAGTACTCATCACAAATTGATTCTCATAAGCTATCTCTGCAACATGCTAAATATTGAAACAGTAAATAAAGAGAATTAGTTGGATCTATCTATTTATAAGAATATGTATCTATTCTCTGGCATCAAATTTGAACCCTGCATTTGACTTGCTGTCAAATCTATATATAGGGCAGGCAAAAAATAAAGAGAAAAGAAGCAAACAAACGAATGTGCCAGATTCCCAAGATATTGGTTGAATACTAACCTCTATAAGAAAATTAACATTAAACAAGTCACGTCATGTGACTCAAGTTTGACATTCTATGTAATATTATGCTACTACTAGAAGCTGCAATGCAGTCATTTTTTATTTTTTATTTTCAATGCTGTTAATTACATTGCAATAGGATGAAATTGAACTAACAAAATGAAAAAAGATAGAATTAGAAAAATTCCAGGCTATCCAGAGACCATAGGGTATAATAGAAGCTTTACATAGATGCCAACAGCAAAAATAGAATAAAAAACTAGAAATCAATCCTAAAATGTAATATTTTCCCACTCCATATATTTAAGCCGTTTCTGAACTGAACTTTCAAGAGAAAGAAACATGCACAATCCCAACCCCTCTCAGCAGCACTAGAAGTGAGCAATTACCAAGGGGAAAAAGAACTGCTTTAATTTCCAAAATAAAAACCTTTGCTGAGAAGGGGAACAAATAAAGACACAGATGTTTCCAAATAAGAACATTCTCTTTCTATTTTAGGTTTTTCATTAGGCGTGATTTTGTGGAAGAAGTAGGAGATTAAGAATACACTTCCTGCAGTGGGCATCAATATTGCAAGGAGGATAGTTTCAGTTCCAAGAAAAATATCTTACAATCTAGCCATCCACATATAAATTTTCACTTAAATCCAAGTTGATGTTTGTGGCTAGTAACATCCAATTTTCACTTTCTGTTCTGCCAGACATGCATAAACATAGAACTTAAGAGTATATTTATATTTCAAGAAAGCTTTGATATGTATAGTACCAGGCTATGGAATTCAAAATCTAAAAAAGCATTGATCTAATATGCATATGAAGAGAGAGAAAGAGAGAGTTTTCTTACCATGTGGATTCCAGTTTTCAGTTCTTTTGCAGTGTCCCTCGTTTCAGTTAGTAAACGATCAGTAGAATTCATAATTTGCCTTATTCCAAGCCATATTCTAATGCGGCCATCTGCTGCATTATGGTGCTTCTCATACAGTTTCTTTTGAGACTGTACACTTAAAGTAAATACATTATTTTATACATTGTTCAAATAATAAAATATTTCAAGGATAGAAATCAAAATACAACAATTTTAAGAAGATCTAAATTTGTAGTAGAAGAAAAAATACAGTATGTCAGGGTTAGTAGATTAGGTTCATTGAAATTATAAATGCCAGGGGAAGCTTTAAAGGGAAAGAAAGATACAAGGAACTATTTCAATAATTTTTTCCCAAACCCTCAGCTACTCCTATCGAGCAAAAAGAATTTGCACACGAGAACCCTGGTTTGAAGGAATGAAGACCCAAAAAAAATCATTCCAAACTTTGTGCAAGTTTCTATATTTATAGCTTATCTTTGCATCACAATCCAAAAGTATTAGTTGGCCGCCAGTGAAATAAACCCATTGACATTTCAATCAAAAGTTTAGTCCAGAGAACAGAAGTAATAAGCTTACAAAATGAATAATTTCCAACCACCAATAGTGGAACAGGTTTTTGGCAGAAAAAGAAATTAATGAATAGGGAAAAGAAGGAAAAGTTAAAAACAGCATGTTATCTGTGTATCAGGCATTATGCACCACTTCCACCATCTCATGATGAATAAACACCAAATGGGGCAAAAGATCGCCAAGAATGGGAAAGTTGAAAAGCAAAAGCAACAACTAATAGATGATGTCAGAATTCAACATCGAAAGGAATAGGTATAGCAGTATAAAAAGAACTCACTTACAAAAAATTTAGTAGATATTTTAATTATTTGTGAAGCATTTCAACTCTCAACAATAGAAGCCAAACAATTTCAGAGTTGTCCATCATGAACTTAGCATTTTGTGCAAGTTAGTTGTATGATCAAAGAAAAGCAAGCATCTAAGTTACCAATACTCACTTGAAAGACTAATTCAAGCACTTTGTGTCCTATCCTAGTAATCAACATGAACATATATATATATATATATTATATAGATATACAGATATGGTCAACCTGAATACAATCATCTGCGGTTCGAACACCCCAAGATGCTGGTAAACCATTACCAGAGTCCATAGTTGACTCAGTTAAACATGCGCGCAAGCCCAGCAACTCTACTGCCCTCACCATTCCAGACACATGCTGTCCTCCAGCTTCTGCAAAGCATGTTACCTGATTCAACAGATCATATTATACAGCTTGTTACATCAATATTCCATTTCCCAATTACATAAGCATACTTTCTAATTTCCTATTTTATTCAAATTCTGATAAAAAAAGGTGACTGTTTGACAATGTTGTTCATAAAAAGCATGGTTAGCAACCACACTTCCATTTTGACTATTAACAGAATTTTATTTAAAATGTAACTTTAAAATAAGGAAATTTAAAGAGTGATTACTCTAAATACGTTTGTCGACATTTGCACATAGTTTGAGAAAAAAGTGCAAAAAATCCTAATTTTTTAAAATTATATTTGAGCCATTATATTCATTCAAACACGCACAAACATCACAAGAATGGTCGAGTACAAAGCATTAGAGTGATTCCCGGAAACAAAATGGAAGGAAAAAGCTGATACTAACACCAGAGTGAATGAGTTCGATTCCGCAAAGTAAAGTTGAGATGTATGAATCTTCTTCAGTCATGTTAGACTCGTAAGGCCAAATGCGATCGTGTAACCAAGTCATCAAATCAACATCGTCAGCTATGCCTCTGGCGAGTTGTTGTGAGGTATGAACATGTGTGTTGATCAAACCTACATCACAACAACAACATATACATAACCACGTACATCAAATCAGTGACAGTGTGTGTGAGTGTAGAGAGAGAGAGAGAGAGACCAGGGAGTAGGAATTGGCCGTGCAGATCCACGATTTGGTTAGCAAGAGGAGAGAATTCGCTGAGGATGTGAGAGGATTGGCCAATGGCTTTGATTCGATCGTTGTCGATGACGATTGCCCCGTTGCGGAAGACTCGGGATTGGGGATCCATAGTGAAGATTATGGTATTGTGGAGTATGAGTAGTGAACTGTTGTTGCTATTCGATGCATCCATTTTCTTGCTCTGTTCGAGTTTCAACTGTGTATATCACTCTGCAGAACAGATGCAATTGTGGATTTTCAAGTTACGCCAGTGCTGCGATGGCATTGGAGGCTAAACTGTGGCGTTTCAGTATTGTAGCGGCACGTTTAACTTCCGAAGCTGCACTTGTTCTGAAAGCGATCAACGATAACACTGTTTCGACGATTGACTTCTTCAGCTAAATCGTGATAAGGATCATCTGCATCTTACTGGAGTAAAATGTCGTTTCGGGTTGACAAATTATTACACAGTAACAAAAATAAAATGATTAAGGAAAATAAAAAAATTGTCAAGGTTGGTTTGCAATGTTCTAAAAAAGTGTACTTTTTAGTTTATTGGTATATATGGATTGGATTTGATGTGATGTGTTTGAGAGGTAATGTGATTTAAATAAGATGATGTGACTTAAATAGGATAGTAACTTTTTGACTTTTTGTATTATTTAATTTATACCAAATCACCCCTAATGTTGTGTTTGGTTGAGGAATTTGATGAGGGATTTGGAAAGGGAAATGGAAAAGGTAGGTGAAATATGAATAAAACATATCTAAATTTCACCTAGTTTCACACACCTTTTCCCTTTCCCTTTCCAAATCCCTCTCAAAATCCTCCAACCAAACACAGTATAAGTGTCCTTTTTTTTTTTCCACCCCTTTAATCCCTCTCTCTTTCATTGGTTGGATTTTTTTTTTTCATTTTTTTATTTCTCATATCTTTCAATCACCATCTGTCACATGTGTGTGGAGGTGGTGGGAGCAGTGATTGGAGGGAGTCTCTATCACTCCTCTAAGGAAAATGGTCTGTACCTCGAAACTCCTTTCCCCTACGAATCCCCCGACTGCCCAAAACGACATCGTTTAGTTTTTTTTTTTTTTTTTTTTTTTTCTTTATGTTTGAAACGCAGAGAGAAGAAGAGGAAGATGAAGAGGGAAAGAAAGAGAAAGAGAGAGAGAGAGGGGGTCGCCGTCGATCGCCGATCGCCTCCGCCTCCGATCGTCGCAGCCCAGCCCGATTTTGTTTTTTTTTTTCTAGATCTGAAATGAAGGGAAAAAAATAAAAATAAAACTGTTGGCTAGTGTTGATGATGGTGATGGTGATGTTGAAGAAGATGTTGATGATGAAGATGAATGGTTGAATTTTTTTTTTTTTCCTGGATCTGGTGGTTGAATTTTTTTTTTTTTGGATCTGATGACATTGTTGATGATGAAGATGAATGGTTGATGTTGGTCTCGGTTGTTGATGATGAACTCTCTCTCTCTCTCTTCTTCTTTTTCTTTTTCTTCTTCTTCTTTCTTTGTTTTTTGATTTTCTTCTTCTGGAAAAAAATAAAATCAAATCAAAACGACGTCGTTTTGATTTCGGGGAGATTTAGGGAAGGGCAGATTCGAGCTACATAGCATAACTGAATGATTAATTAGAGTGACCAGATTTTAAATATAAGGTAAATTACATTGACACCCAAGATGTTTATATTTATTATAGTTTTTCCCTTCACCTTTTGAAAATTATGTCTCTCACCCTAAGATTTAAAGTTTCATTACAGATTGCTCTCTTGGTTAGTTGACTGTTAAGTCAACTAACAGATTTTACTGATGTCAACTGATGTCAGTAATTTAATTTTTTTAAATACCAATTTTGCCATCATTGGGTAAATTACATTGACACCCTTCACATTTTAGAAATTATAATCCCCTCCCCAAGGTTTAAAGTAGTATTATCAATTGCCCACTCGATTAGTATTAGTTGAAAAAAAAAATCATTGAAAAAACATTAATTGAAAAAAAAAAAAAATTGTTAGTCAAAATTTTAAATTTCAGTTTAAAAACCAACATAAACTCATTTTTTGAATTTATATTTTTTTCTCAAATTTACAAACTGAGACAACCATTTATAAACAAAAAAAATTATCAAACACGTTTTTATGACAGTTTTTAAAATTTTTGTAAATATAAATTAAAAATTAAAAACGAAATGGTTACCAAACAGGTCTCAGATGGTAAAAATGTCGTAAAATTAACTAATAATTAAATAAGTTACCAACGTAAGAAATGACTTATCAAAAAACTTTTAAGTTATGTATGCTTTGATTTTTAGAATATTTTTTTAAAAAATTAAAAATTAATTTGGTTAAGAAATAAAAAATAAAAAATAATTATCATTTTTATATAATTTTTATCTTTCGAGTGGTTAGAAATAATTTTTTACAAATTAAATATATTTCTTCATATTTATTTTTATTAAATTAGTTTTTTTTTTTAATGTCAAGGGAGATCCGTATTAAATTGAAACCTCAGGAGGTGTCAATGTAATTTATATTTTAAAGTATATATAATGGTTAAGAGTAAATATGTCATTTTAACTTAAAAGTTAATACCGTCAAATAATTACATTGACAATAAGGATCAGTGTAATTTCTCAAATGTGAGGGAGAACTGTAACAACTCGAAAATTTAAATTATCTCTTAGATTTTTTACTAGTATTATAGTTGTATATGATAATATATTATTAAAAATAAAAATAAATAACGAAATAATAATAATAAATAAAATAATGTAAATAAATAAAATAACATATCCAATTTCATAGCTATATGTGCTAAAATGTAATCTACTTTGGCATAGGGTTATCAAATATGTGATTAATGTATTAGTTGGGGCCAAAGTAATACAACTACGAAATTATGAAAATAGTTGGGCCAAATGATAATATAATGAAAGGTGTACAAATGAGTTGGACCATGGACAATAGGCCACCTATTACGTCTACGGAATAGATGATGCGAATCATCAACTAGAGTGTTTGATTATAGGGGTGAGTCATCACTATAGCTCGGGTATAAAACAACAATGATTCATCCTATTAAAAATATCACTACTAATAGCACTAATGCATTAAAAAAGTAAAAAAAAAAAAATACAACTCCAAAACCAAAACATCACATCAATAATGGCGAGACCCACTGCCACCTAATTAGTGCAAGCATTTTTCGGTATAAAAAGGAAGCCACGACGTGAAAGTAAAAAAAACACACAGGAGAGGCTGTAAGGAAGGGGCGTCGAAAAGCTAGCATAAGGCTCCGTTTGACAAGAGTTAAATGGAGTTTTTTTTGTCTATTTTAGTCACAAAAAATAAAATAGACTATTTTAGTCACAAAAAATAAAATATCACATCCAACCCATAATCATTACATTCTTCTCTCACAAAAAAACTAAAAAAGTCAAAAAGTCAAAAAGCCGACCCACTTCCCAAACGGAGGCTAAATAGGATTACACTGTTAAATAGGTACTTATTTGGAGAGTATTGGTATAATAAATTAAGTCCGAACGATCTGTAATAGAAAGAAGAATTTTCGACGGTGGCTCATCCATCCGGGAGCACTTCGACGATCAAGTCAGTACTCAATATCTCTCAAAGATAACTAATAGTGCTTAACTTACTAAACAGAATATTAAAAGCATACCTTAAACCCAGGGGGTGCCTCCCTTTTATAGCCAACACAATCCCAGTCCCAATAAGAGTCTAGCTCTAATGGACTTAGGATTACTGCTAATCTTGGACTCCCAGTAAGATTAGGATAAACTCTCTAAGAGTCTCATATTTACCAAAATTGAAGTCTTCTCTCATTCTAGGACTCTTGTCCCTTATCCGCTTATCTCAGATTCCGATATTCTCGCAGATAACCTCGGCCTAGCCAAGATCATCTCAGTGTCATGGCCAAGACACGTGACACCTCGGCTGACACTTCGATGTCACCTCGGTCACGTGTTGTTATTCAAAAATTATGTCCCCACAAGTAGATATTAATCTTAAGGTGAGTTATACAAGTTATGTTTTATAGTACCGTGGTTATGATTATTTATTTACATAATCTGTGTTTTGCTACTTAAATGATTATTTGTTTAGACTAAGTGATCTTAAATATTTTCGTTACATAACTATCCATGGTTATTTTGTGTCCCTTATGCTCTTGACATAATATTTCTCACTCTGCCATGTGCTTATAGCTGTTTACCAATTTTCAGGAAACAATGCAATTCAGAAATAGTTTTTGGAACGAGGCAGCGGAATAGACACACACAGCACTTTTATGATATGTTTATATGTAAATATCGGCCTTTTTGGTCAATAAATTTTGTAATAAAAATAGAAGTTCCGATAATTATTTTGGTACTCTCACTTAAATATTATTTCCGCTCGCGTTATTAATTTGTTCAAGAATTGACCAGAGGTAACTTCAGTTACTGGCCATCACGATACTTAAGCCTTGGGTACGGGGAGCGGGTCATGACAGAAACTGTAATAAATATAAATCTCATGAGGTGTCAGTATAATTTACCCTTAAATATATATTATATTCTATAAATTTGATATTATTGCAATAATCTTCATTTTTGTAAGAACAAAATAATTAAAATGAATGCAAAATGATGATTTGTAAGCATATGTATAAATAATATAAAACATATATTTTAATATAAAAAAAATGATAATATAATTTTTTATTATAAATTCGATTAATGAATTACTAAAAAAAATATAAGTAAATGTCATGTGCATTAAAATTTTAAGTGTATTAATATGATTATGTGGATGTTTGGCATCTTTTAAAAAAGTTAAAAAATCAAAAATACACTAAAAAATTAAAAAAGTTGACACTATTCCCATGTTTAGGCGGGAAAAAAATGTTGAGAAAACTGAGAGCAAAATTATGAATTTACCTTTCTGAATTTAACAGCCAAAAGTGCATGTCAGTGTACTTATCTTTACACATCTTACCAAATACACTGACGTGGCTAATTGTAAGCCACGAAGTCTCAAAGTCAACAAAATTGAACAATGCATTGAATGCACACAGTATGTGTTAGGAAGGGTACAATAGTAATTTTGATATTTGATACAAACCTGACAACGTATGATAACTCCTTAGTGTACTTTTCTCAAACGTGTCAATGTGACATATATGATGTGACACTCTAAAAAAAATAAAAACTCTTAGTGTACTTTTCTCAAACGTGCCAATGTGACATGTATGATGTGACACTCTAAAAAAAATAAAAACTCTTAGTATACTTTTCTCAAACGTGCTAATGTGACATGTATGATGTGACACTCTAAAAAAAATAAAAACTCTTAGTGTACTTTTCTCAAACGTGACAATGTGACATGTATGATGTGACACTCTAAAAAAAATTAAAAACTCCTTAGTGTACTTTTTCCAAATGTAACATGTGACACTC